ACGAAGTCGGTTTTGAAGGGTAGTAAAAGGGACATCATAAAGACGCGCTGGTTTGCGAATAGTCAACGGATTCTCGCGATTTTTTTATGGCGGAAATAGCCAATAGGATTCGACCTTCTTGCTGGGCCAAATTTTTTTTTAATTTTGACGCGCTTTTGGTGGCATAGTGGCGCGTTGAAATTGGTAGAGCTGTATAGTATTTGAAGGTGCGGGTGGGTGATCGGAGCGACCGGGTGATCGGAGCGGCCGGGAATTACGTTAGTTAATAAGCTTCTGTGGGGCGCAGAGCAAAACTATGGGGTAAATTGCGGGGTCCGGGGTAAATGACCGCACCAGCGGCCCGAGCTCCTCCTTAGGCTCTTTATTCGTCCTTTGATAGGAATGTGCATAATTCGTTATCTACTGTCATGACACGGTTAATAATCGGCGATGGTAAATTACAATTTCCTTGGGAAATCCACTCGAATTACATATCTTCTGCTCTCGCGCTGCGGGCAGCCAGCCCTAAGCTCTGTCTCTGGGCTCATCTACTATAAAAATATTTCCCGCCGACGTGCCTTAGAAAAATCAGATTGGGAAGCCCGTATGAAGAGTAGAAATATTAGAAAGAAAGTTCTTGGCATGGACCAGGTATTCCTATTTTTGAAAGGATCGGGAATGACATTCCTAGAAAAAGCTTCTGTCACGCTTCAATCCAATCGACTTGTCAGCGCTGCATGTCTGCTGCATCACCGCAAGCTAACATTGACACACTTCGTCTGCGTAAACGACAGCAACTCGTCCAAACACTCCTCCTTCCCGAACCAGACTCCTTGAACCCCCCGAATGGAATCCCCAGAAAGTGATTCCCCACCTGATTCACCCAGATGAAGCCGGTTTCGATCTTCGGCACCGTCCGGTGTGCCGTCGCCATGCTCTGCGTGTAGATCGCCGCCGTCAGGCCATACCGCGTGTCGTTCACCTGTCGGATCACCTCGTCTTCGTCCGTCCACTTGAACACCGACATGACCGGCCCGAAGATCTCCTCCCGGGCAATTCGCATATGAGGCTGGACGTTGGCGAAGATGGTCGGCTCGACAAAGTATCCGCCTTCGATCTCCGGGATGCCTGTGGGAGCCTTCCCACCCAGCAGCAGCTCGGCGCCTTCTTGTTTCGCGCTTTCAATGTAGGATAGCACCCGCTCTTGTACCGCTTTGCTGATCACAGGCCCCATTGTGGTGGACGGGTCGGTGGGTACGCCTGGTTTGAAATGCGTTCGCACGTAGTCGCGCACTCGCCGCAGGACCTCGTCATGGTGCGACTCGTGAAGAAAGACCCGCGACGTCGAGCCACACGACTGGCCGGCCCAGGTGAAGTTCATGCCCCGGGCCACGCCTTGACCAGTTTGTCGATATTCGCATCTGGGAAAGCCAGCAGCGCGTTCTTCCCGCCTAGCTCGAACAGAGTCGGCTTGAGCGTGTCCGCTGCAGCGCGCTGGATCGCCTTGCCCGTCGGGACGCTGCCGATCAGAGTCACCTTGCTCACCAGAGGATGCGTCGACAGCGCTTTCCCGCATTCGACCCCTTCGGGGAGGATGTTCAGCACGCCCGGAGGGAAGACGTCGCTCAGGATCTCGGCCAGACGCAGACAGGAGAGGGGAGCCTGGTCGGGCGGCTTGATGATGACGGTATTGCCAGCGGCCAGAAGCGCGGCCATCTTCGCACCCGCAAACATGGCCGGGTGGTTGAAGGCGATGATACGGGCGACCACGCCCAGCGGCTCTCGCAGCGTATAGTGGAAGGAGTCGTCCGACTGGGGGATTGTTTCGCCCCGGACCATGGGTGTCAGGCCCGCGAAGTAGTCCAGATTGGCCGCTGCCACCTTGGCGTCGCTCAGCATCTCAGCCACCGGATTGCCCGTGTTGAGGGCATCTAGGAGGGCCAGTTGCTCTGCATGCTGGCGGATCACATCGGCTGCCTTGCGCAGGTAAGCCGCCCGTTGCGCTGGAGGGGTCGAGCGCCATCCAGCGAATGCCTGATGGGCAGCCTCGACGGCAGCATCGACATCTCTGGCGCCGGCTTGCGCGACCTGGTCTATGACGCTGCCGTTGCCGGGATTGAAGGTCTCACGGTATTCTTTACTGAGGGGCGCATGCCATTGCCCGTTGTAGAACAGCTCCTTGTGCGAAGGAGGCGAGTCCTGGATGCTGGGCAGCTGGGCAGCCATGGCTGAATAGGGACTGTTGTGTTGTCACCATCTTGGAATCTCTTTTTTTCTTCTTGTCGATTCTTCGCTTTATTTTATCTGACGTACACATCCGGAACGAGATGCCGTGTTGCGGGGAAGTGCACATCGCTGTGGGGAACTGTACTGTCCACGTAGGAACTGCTTCCATGAGAGATCAGGTCAATCGAAGCTCTGTACGACTCTTGGCTTTGAAGATATACAAACCTTAAATATCTGGTCCATGCCAAGGGCTTTCTACTATAAGTTACAACTGTCGAAAGCCTTGCCCATTGCCTAATTTCGTCACATTGAACGTGATGATGACAACGATACTCCGTTCACAGCGGTTAAGCATAAATCCATTATTTTCCCGGGCGGGAATTTCCCCGCGAAGGATTCATGCGGAGTTCAACGCCGGAAGCTTTTCCCGCATTTATATAGTAACGAATGACTTGTCACATCCTTTTTGTTAAGGAAGGGGAGGTTCTGGTTCAATTGACTTCCTGGATATATTAGAGTTGATTTGCTTCCGCTGTTGCTGCTGTCTTGAGCAATTCGCTTGCTACGAGGTTTATACGCCATGGCATCCCAAGAAGATATCGTGCTGAAGTCGATGATCCGGAAATTCATCACCGGATGCCATATTCTTCACTACCACCGGTAAATAATAAACAAGTCATACATCCGTATCGTATTCATCTCTAATATAATAAATCAATGAATGATAACAGCGTCCTGGACGCCTACGGCCATCTCTCCTTCCGCCACCCTTCCAAGCCAGATGTCTTCCTCATGTCTCGATATATCGCCCCAGCAACCATCTCCTCTGATCGGGACGTCATCGAGTACTACGTTAGCAATGCCGAGCCCGTTGATCCTAACTCTCCGCCGGGCTATTCGGAGCGGTGCATACATAGCGAGATCTATCGGCGATATCCTGACGTGCAGAGTGTGGTCCACAGCCACTCGGAGGCTGTTGTGCCGTATAGTATTTCAGGTTCGTCTAGGAGCTCTGTCACCACCAGATGCCGGATATGTTGTCGTTAATTGCTTTTTTTTTCGCTGCTTAGGAGTCCCGTTGCGCGCGTGCTTCCACATGGGAGGCTTCCTTGGTGGGTGGCATCATCATCCTGTTCGAAGAAAAGAGGGAGAAGGCTGAACTCTGTCTCCAGGAACAAGAACCCCCGTCTTCGATATCGCCGAGCACTTCCAACCCGACGACATCAAGGACATGCTGGTCCGCAACACCCGTCTAGGCGCCGCCCTTGCCGCTTGTTTCGCAGATACGCCCACGGCAACGAGTCCGGACCACGCGGTCGTCCTCATGCGTGGCCACGGGTTTACCACCCAGGCGTCGAGTATCGAGGAGTGCGTGCTTCGTGCCGTGTACACGCAGCAGAATGCGAGTATCCAGACGACGGCGTTGCTGACGCATGCTGCGCACTTTTCTGCAGCCCCTGCTCGGGCCACGGACGCGCAGGCCGAAGTCAAGTATCTCGACGAGGAAGAATCGCAGGCCTCTGGGGTGATGACTAAATGGTCTGCGTACCGGCCGTGGGGGCTCTGGTGTCGAGAGGTTGAGGCGAGTGGGCTATATGTAAATCAGGCATAGTAGTCCAGATCAAGGATGACTAGTAGTATATTAACACGATAAGTTGGTGCTAAACAAATGATAGAACGGGGGAAACGTTTGACATTGAATGGTCTGGCCAGCCTTGAATCATGATTATCAAGTCTCTTTCAAAGTATGTACCAAACGTCTATAAACGTTCCAAAAAAAAATCACAAAAAAAAATCAACATAACTTTCCTTACAACCCAGGCACCTGAAAATCCTTGTAAGTCCACTTCTCCGTGAGTTTCCGTTTCGGTTTCTTGTGCTGTGTGATTGGTTTTCGAGCTTCGAGTTTCCCATTCACGATCAAGTTTCTGAATCGGTCGTCTAGCAGGTTGCCCTCCGGCTTCAGCCGACGGAGAGAATCCTGAAGCTCATCAGGCAGAACCACTTCTAGAGACTTCTCAGGAGGACTGTGTCGTATTAGTTAGTGAGGAAAGCAAAAGTAATGAGGTCATATTCACTTACAAATGCTTCCCCAGAGGTCGCCGTCGTAGAACGGTATCGTCGCCCTCCTCTGATGAATCGTCCTCTTGTTTCTGTAACTGTTTCTGTTTCCGGGCTTCTTCCTCCTCCTGTACCTTGCGCGCAATCGCCTTGGCCTGCGCCGCTTGTTGCTCTTTCTTCTTCATCTCAGCTTCCCACTTTGCTTTTCGCTCGGCCTCTTTTCGTCTCTTGATCTTGTTTCTCTGTGCTTTTGTCTTTCTCTCAGGTCTCTTCTTATTCAGCCATTCTGGCTTCTCGTACTCGCTTTCAAACCCTTCCCAAGCGCTCTCGTCGTCGGATTTCACCTCCCCATCGTCATCTTTCGCTTCGGCGATCAATCGTTGTCTCTCCTGCTCTTTCTTTTCTTCCTCTATTCGCTTCTTCTCTGCCTCCACCTCCTTCTCGCCTTCCCTCTTCAGGAGGTTATCCCAATCTTCAAAAGTGGGATTATAACTCCTTCCCGCGTCTGGCTTTGGAACAGCAGGAACTGGCTTTCCATTGGCAGCCAAGGAAATCGGTTTCTGTTTGATAGTTGGAGGAGCGACGATCGGCTTCGGCTTCTCCAGAAAACTAAACTTGGGGTCGTCAAGCGGCGTAGGGTCTTTCTGATCCGACCAGGGGTCATAGCTAGCGTCCTCCTCGTCCTTCTTGACCGGTTTTCCCTCCTGCGCAACCTGCTTCAGTCGCAACAACTCCTTGTGACTGACCCAGTCGCTCTTGTGCTTCTTGGTCTTGGGCTCAATGACGCCATCCGTGACTTTCGAGTTTGCGCGTTTGCGACTGTCTACCGCGGGGATAGCCGATCGTTGAGCGAGGATCTCCTCTGCTTTGAGAGGTTTGTGTTGCTTGCGATAAGCTTTCTGGATTTCTTGTGAAGGTGTTGAATCAATGGTAAACAGTTCTTCAGAAGGCTTCTCCGATACGACACCTCTATAGACGAGAAAAAAAATCAATCCGTGAGCCAGGAACAGCAACCAGCGCAATAATTGGCGAGCCGAACTCACCCTCGGATCTCCTCTTCCCGGACCTGTCTCAATCCTTCCTGGATTTCAGAGACGTCCACATTTTTCCGCCACGCCTTCTTGCCTTTTCGAGAAGGCTGCTTGTATTGCTGGGGGGCCTCCACTGCGGCCGCCATGGTGCTGTTTGACTGCGACGATCTCGTTATCTTGCGTGCAGCGGATTTTGTGACATTGAAATCCGCAAAAATTCTGGATGGGTCCACTAGCGCGGGGCGAGCTACTCGCGGCTGCTGCGCTAATAAACGCGCTTAGCGCAGGGCATGCATTACGGACAGCGCAAGAATAAGATTGGTTTATATGCCTGCTTTCGAGGAAAAAGTAAACTATGAAATAAGTGATCAGATTAGAATGTCCATATTCAGCATTTTTAAGTCTAAAAATTCGGAGAAAATTCGTTGATTTTCCTGTTCCGTGGTAACGTTCCTAACAAAAGCCCTGTCGCTCCTTTTATGGCTGACTTTGATCTCAACATAAAGAGATAAAATAAACGATCGCAGCCAAACTCTACTTCATTAACTTTTCATAATACGAGTATGTAGCAGATGCTGCGAAAGCAACACATACAAGTAAACGGGTCAACTTCGTACTGTAAGCTGCTCCCTGTGGGGCAGGCGGCCAATCACGGCAGAACTGCCAAACGGGATCACTTCGCCACCCCGACCACTTCTACCAGCCGACTATGAAGCGTCTTCAATCCTCATCTCCTCAGATAGCATACGGTCAATTACCCTGCCACCCTTCACAGCCCTGCGCGGAGAGGATTCTTCGTTCTTGCAGAGGTTGTTTTTGAACACCTCACTTTCCCTTAGTTCACGTTTGTCAGGCTGGCGCGATAAACGTCAAGCGCAATGCCGGTCGTCAAAGGTGGTGTTTGGTAAGTTATCAACTTCGCATCTCTTACGACGTGACTTTTCTCTGACATTTCCACAGGACAAACATTGAAGATGAAGTTCTACGCGCGGCGGTAAGTTTTACATTTGCATCTCTGTGGTTGGAGTTGATGCTGAGACTTCGGATAGGTATCGAAATATGGTCTTAACCAGTGGGCGCGTGTCTCCTCGCTGCTCGCGCGGAAGACACCGAAGCAGTGCAAGGCACGCTGGCAAGAATGGCTAGATCCCAGTATCCGCAAGATCGAGTGGTCGAGAGAGGAGGATGAGAAACTGCTGCACCTCGCCAAGTTGATGCCGACACAGTGGCGTACCATCGCGCCTATCGTGGGAAGGACAGCAACGCAGTGTCTGGAGAGATATCAGAAGCTGCTAGATGAAGCAGAGGCGAAAGAAAACGATGAACTGGGTTTAGGAGGTCCTGGAGGTGAGGCACATGCCCCCACCGCGGACGATGTTAGGCGGCTACGGTATGTCAAGGCCCATACCCTCGTAATCTGCTTTTTCTTGGTTCTGACTTTTTTGCTTCAGCCCAGGAGAAGTAGATCCCGATCCCGAGTCGAAACCAGCCCGTCCCGATCCTATCGATCTCGATGAAGATGAGAAGGAAATGCTCAGTGAAGCCCGTGCCCGTTTGGCAAACACTCAGGGTAAAAAAGCTAAACGCAAGGCGCGGGAACGACAGCTTGAGGAGTCACGTCGCCTGGCAGTGCTGCAAAAGCGACGAGAACTCAAGAATGCCGGCATCAACATCAAAGTGGTTACCCATAAGAAGGGGCAGATGGACTATAATGCGGATATCCCTTTCGAGAAGCAGCCCGCTCCTGGGTTCTACGATACTACGGAGGAGCAGGCTAGGAACGAAAGGCAACGAGAGATGTTCGATCCTCGGAAACAGCAGCTCGCAAATAAACGGAAGGGAGATCAGGAGGAAGACGCAGAGCGGAAGAAGAGAAAGAGCGAAAAGAAAGACACCTTCGCTGCGGCATTAAAAGCCGGTCGCATGCAACAGATCCGGGAAGCTGAACAAATGAGCAAACGAAGGCCTCTCAATCTGCCAGCCCCACAGGTCAGTGAGAGCGAGCTGGAAGACATTATCAAAATGGGTATGGCAGGAGACAAGGCTGCTCAGATGGCCGGGGAGGGAGAGAATGACAGTACTCGAGGCCTGATCGGGAATTATTCTACTGTTGTGGGAGGAACTCCTATCAGAACGCCACGTGCTCCTCCGCAAGAAGATCACATCGCCAACGAAATTCGCAATATAAAAGCATTGACAGAAACACAGTCATCGCTTCTGGGCGGTGAGAACGCACCACTCCACGAAGGAGAGGCCTCAACCGGATTTGATGGTATTGCTCCTCGAAAACAGCAAATAGTTACGCCAAATCCTATGGCAACTCCTTTCCGCCAGCCAGGGGCGAATGGTGTGGGTGCTACGCCTATGCGAGGGCCTGGTGCGACGCCGTTACGCACGCCAAGGGACCATTTCGCTCTAAACCAAGAACCCAATGGCCAACTCGTTGGGGCCACACCACGTGAAATCAAGATGCGGGAAAACTTTATGCGACAGCAGATTCGTAGCAAGCTAGCTTCTCTTCCGAAGCCGAAGGAAACTGAATGGGAACTGGAAGAGCTTCCCTCAGAGACCCAAGAGCCGACGGCCGACGGTGATCAAGTCGAAAAGGATGCAGCGGAGCGTGACAGGAGAGAAGAGGAAATCCGCAGGAAGGCCGCTGAGGCAGAATTCAAGCGCCAAACCCAAGTCTATCAGCGGTCTCTGCCGCGGCCTAGTGTCCTTGACATAGAAGCCCTCATACAACGGGCCTCACAGGTCACGGACCCCATCGAGAACCTGATCGCAAAAGAGGCTGCTATCCTCATTGCTAATGATGCCAGGAAGTTTCCAGTGCCGGGTGCCAAGGTTGAAGGCAAGGCCCCCAAACTGGAAAAACTGGATGACGATTTGCTCGAGGCCGCTCGCGCCGCTATTGCGAGCGAGTTGGCTTCTGACGAGCTTCAACAGCAGTGGCAGGCAGACTTTGACGCTTCTTGGTCGGCGACACATGAGTCCAGCCTTCCCGGTCTAGCCTCATACAACGATGAGGATAGCGATGTGTTCCAGAAGGAGCAACAGATGATAAGCACCTTCGACAACGTCCAGGCCGCGCTTTTGGCAACGGCGGAGCAGGGCAATAAATTGGAAAAGAAGCTTGCGTTGCATTATGGCGGATACCAGGCTCGTGCGAAGACCCTTCGGGGTAAAATTGTCGAGGCCAGTGCTGCTCTCGAGAAGGCTAAAATCGAACTGGATACATTCCGTACACTCCAGATCTCAGAGGAAGCTGCGCTGTCTAGACGGCTCGAGAGGTTGCGCGATGAAGTTGCTTTCATCTCGAGGAGAGAACGCGAAGCTCAGCAACTCTACAAGGCTCGCAAGGACGAGCTTGATGAGCTTGTCAGTGGGACCGTGAATGGCTGGCATTGAGAGTTTGCTTTCATTCAACAGATTGTTTATTGCTGGGAAATTGTATTCTAGAAATGTAGTAGATACGACCCGTTTGCATTATTTGGGCACAAAGAGATGGAATATCATAAAGTGGAAGCTGCAGCCTTCTCACTAATTTTTGGATGGGAATATCCTTCTGGCCTCATTAATATACCAGCTTAGAGATTATTGAGACGTAAATATAATCGTAAGTATAGTTTGTAAGTGCCGCTCTGTGTGTAATTCTGTTGTGGAGGCTGTGCCGTTGTCCTTGCTGGCCGGATTTGGACCAGCAGCGGGTTGCGAGAGCGGGAGGCGATAAAGGCGGGTGCCCAAGACAGCCTCCGCTAGGGCGTGAAATTAGCCAGACTCCTCCATCTCACCAGCGACCACGGCATCGTAATCCATCAAAATTTCCCACCACCACGCCTTTTCCATCGTCGGTACTGTCAGAAGGCGATCAGAGACCTCTCTGCGGACACAATGGCCGTCAGAGATCCTCACCAGGAGGCGTCTGGCACGCCAGACCCGGTCGAGAAGGGATTCGCCACCCTGAACACGCTGAGGTACGTCGTGGAATATCGCTTCCTTTGTGTTCCCTGGGGTATTCGACCCCGATTTTTACGGTCGCATGTGCTGACTTTGATGATAGGATCGGCGTGAAGGCCATGGTTGAGAAGGTAAGCATATTGATCGCCTGATCGCAAAACCAGATATGGAATCACGTGATATTCGTGTCATGAGGACAAGTCTGACTATGCAATGTAGGATGGAGTACATCGAAAAGCAGAGATTTTGTCTATGAAGAAACGGCAGGACGTTCCGTATTTCTAGTAAGTTTTTCCTGGTGGGATTTTTTTTTCGTCTTGACAGCAGCTGACAGAAGCGACAGTGTACACTATGTCGATTTTAACAAGCGTCTTGATGGTATGTATCAGAGAATACTAGCCTAGCTGATTTAATGCTGACTGTTTTGCTCTCAGAATGGGTTCCTGCTTCGCGCATCGATCTCTCGCAGGAAGTTGAATGGCCTATGCCGGAGAAGCCTGACAAGAAAAAGACGGCTGGTGCAGCTAACAAAGCTCCAAGCAAGAACACGGCCCAAAAGCGTGCCAGAGCAGACAGCCGTGATGTGTCAGGGACACCGGATTTGTTGACTGGCAAGAACAGCAATGTTAGCAAGAAGCCGCGTCCATCGAAAGCAGGCGGCAAGGAAAACCGCGCCGACGAAACGCCCCTCACTTTATCTATCGTTGGTTCGGAGGCTGTCTCAGCAGACGGCACACCGAAGCCAGAACCCGAAGATGTTGACATGATTGACGTCGGCGAAGCGGATTCGAAATTGGGCGTCAAAGAGAAGACCCAGGAAATGTCCCGGGAGGAGGAGATCGAGAAGCTGCGGACAAGCGGCAGTATGACGCAGAATCCGATCGAGGTCCATCGCGTCCGTAACTTGAACAGGCTGCAGATGGGCAAGTATGAGATGGAGCCGTGGTACTTCTCTCCGTATCCAGAGTCCTTCTCTGAGGCAGAGATTGTCTACATCGACGAGTTCTGCTTGAGCTACTTTGACAACAAGCGGGCGTTCGAGCGACATCGCAAGAAGTGCACCCTCGTCCATCCGCCTGGAAATGAGATCTATCGGGATGACTACATCTCATTCTTTGAGGTGGATGGGCGTCGCCAACGCACTTGGTGCCGGAACCTCTGCCTGCTGAGCAAGCTGTTCCTCGATCACAAGACCCTTTACTATGATGTGGATCCTTTCCTCTTCTACTGCATGTGCACGAGAGATGAGACTGGCTGTCATCTCGTCGGGTATTTCTCCAAAGAGAAGGACTCGGCGGAGGGGTATAATCTGGCATGCATTTTGACCCTTCCTCAATATCAACGTCGTGGATTTGGACGACTGCTCATCTCCTTCAGCTACGAGCTCAGCAAGCGGGAGGGCAAACTGGGTTCGCCTGAGAAGCCGCTCAGTGATCTTGGACTGTTGAGTTATCGACAGTACTGGCGAGAAGTCCTGGTGGACTTGCTCATGGAACCCGGTCGAGAATCGGTCAGCGAATATGAGCTGGCGACTCTCACGTCCATGACAGAGAAGGATGTCCACGAGACGTTGCTGGTGCTGAACATGCTGCGATATCATGTAAGTTCAATAGCCATGCCCCTGATTGATACTTTTCAAATTCGAGATCCGCGGCGAAATATTGACCCCTGTCTACAGAAAGGAAACTGGGTCATTGTCCTCACCGACCAGGTCATCGAACAGCACAAGAAGAAGCTGGAGAAGGAAAAGACAAAGGGGATCCGGAAGATCGACCCCGCGCGACTGCAATGGAAGCCACCGGTATTCACCGCCTCCAGCCGGACCTGGAACTGGTGATTTTTCCCAATTTTATTTTCCTTCATGCTTGTATTTTTTTTATTTCTCAGCGATGGCGTTTAGTATTGGTTCCTACTTGGTTTGGGTTATTACATATTGTCATGAGATGATAAGATGGATGGGCGGCGGGCCGTGTATTGACTCTTGAGCATGAGCATCATGGGTGTTGTTTTTTTTTCTGGTTAGGTGTTTTTTTATCAGGATTTGTGACATAATATATTACATGCACTAGAGAAGTAAACTGGATGACTCCTTACAAAGCACTTTTGAAGGTTTTATTTTTCTTTGTCGTTGTAGAATGTAGACAATGGCTAATTATATAAATCACGAGTCAACCACGTAGTAGCGTACGTTTCCACATGTACTGTACCTATATTACTATAGAACAGACAGCCCCTTCTAAAATAAAAATTCAACAAAGTGAACAGAGGTTACTTACTACCTGCTTACTGATACAACGAAAACATCATTTATTTATTTATATTTATCCATTCCATTCAATCTTTTCCATACTCTCTGTCCCTAACAATAACAATATAACAATCTATCACCAAAGTCCCGAAAAGAAAGAAAGACAAGGAAAGAAGAAAGACAAAGATAGAAATATGATTTCAGTTTTCAGTCTCAGACTTCAGAACAAGAGTACAAGAGAGTATGAGTACAAGAGAGTATCGACCAAACCAAGCGAGGGTCTAAAAAAATAAATAAAACAACTGCCTAAATAGTTACACAGGACACATGCACGCGCATAAAGAATAAAGAATGTCATTCATCATTTTTGTTTCATCATCATCACCATCATCATCATTGCATGTCGTACCTTGATTAGTTGGCTAGCTAGGTAGTTAGCATAAGAAAGCTAACTTGAACGAACGAGGATAAGTGACTCAGTGAGTGAATGAGTGGATCGCTGCCTTGTCTGCCTGCCTGCCTGTCTGTCTAGCTCTCTTGCATGGGTTAGGAAGAAGGGATGATGGTACTGTATGTAGGTACAGTTCACACTGATAAGTTTCGGTTCAGGTTAGACGTTATCTTTTTTTCTTTCTGTTTTTCCTAACAGGAGTTTCCATGGCACACATAACAGAACAGGAGACAAGGCTAGACTTCACGCCACACAAGGTACGACCGTAGTACGATTGATTGATGACAGCAAGCAAGGTGGTGACATGACATGCTCCTTGCAAAGTCCGAGACTCAAAAAAAAGAGACAAAAATGAAATGAACCCTCCCGCAATAACACCGAGTGGATTTAACATTTAACCCCCCACCTAGCAGATAAAGAGAGCCTTCGAGATCTGCGAGCGCGTAGAAACGGGTCGCAGAGGACGATGAGGCGAGGTCCTCGGTTCCCGATTGAATCCTCAGAAAACACAAAAACAGAACGAGCAGACATTACCAGTGTAAGAGCCGAGACAAAAAAAAACATGCCTAGCCTTCGACGACCTGACATTAGACAAAGCCTCGGAAAAGTAGGTGTGAATCGTATCCACAAGAGGTCTCCATGCTAGGTAGCACGGATTTCAGCTTTAAGAACAGTGTTTAGTGAGCTAGTGAGCTACACCAGCCGGCACGCGTGGCCCCCATGATCCTTGCCCGAAACCGCCGCGTGAGGAAGATGCGTTTCCTTTCCCGTGTGCAGAGGAATTCTGTCTCTTTGAACCGTGAGATGCATTAAAACCTCCGGATGCATCTCTGGGTTTGGCGTTCTTTCGAGACCTGTAGTTAGACGTCCCCTTCTGGCGCGACCCGTGATTCCCTCCTGGTTTCTTCGGCAAAGTTACTGTCTTTGTATTTTCACTGCCCGGGAAATGAATCATCACCTGCAAGTTGCCAGAGGCATCCTTGTCAAGAAGTCCAACAACGAATGGTTCGACGCTATGAACTTGCATCGGCTTGAGAATTTTGGGACGCAAGCGTGGCGGAGGAGGAAGCGCAGCACGCCAGGCCATTGGCGGTGCCATGTCTGGTACACGAACAACAGGTAAAGATCCCGCCTCCCGGTCTTCGAAGATCTCTTCTTCTTCTTCGACTTCTTTGGACGTCACTTTACCAGCGTCCTTCTCGAGCTCGCTCTCAGTGATTTGAGGGAATGAGACCGCGGCGGGAGACGGTTGAGATTGGACATCGAGGGGTTCTTTCGTGGCTGAGGTAACCGCTAAGGTGTTCTTCTTTTCGGTTGGTGCCTTCTTGCCAAACAGATCGTTAATTCGATCTTGCCACGACGTAGCGCCTGCAGAAGGATTATTATTATTAGCAGGGCGAGGAGTTGCCGCTACCGTAGACGCAAAGGTCGCCGGTTTCGGAGGAGGCGGATTGGTCTTCGGCGGCAGCTTGACAACAGGCTTTGGAGTTGGAAGATGGACTAGCGGTCGCTGAGAATCACCAGTGAACACAGGATGGCTTGAGACTTCCTCTGGAGGTGGCGGAGACGGACTTCGAGCTCGTCCCTCGTCCACGCTCACCACCCGCTTTACATCAGTCGTAGGAGGGAAGAAGCGAGAACCCCGGCCGGTGACATTGCCGAAAGGACGAGCATGATTTTCTGCAAAGGGCAAGCCATCAACGGCATCAAAACTGTGAAGGGGTGCCAGAGTTCCGGCGGCGTCATTGGATCGCGATACTCCAATAACCTGTCTTTGACCAGCTTGGTCTCCGGGACGAACCTGGCGCCAAGTTTCGTTGAAGCTGACTTGCAGTGAAGCAGCTCCTTCGTCACGCATCGCGTTGAGTTCACGATGAAACCTTTCACTGTCTTCGGCATCTTTCTTTGCCGCGACGGCATGGAAATTGTGCCAGGCTGAGGTAGCAGTTTCAGCGCTACGACGGGTTTCTGTCTGCCAATGGTTGGGATGAGAACCTGGAGGTCCAATCGGCCTTGGTCTAGCGATTGGATTGAAAGGTTCATACGGGGCATGCTTTGGTTCCGGTGAGGGAAGAGACGTAAACGAAGGTTGATTCTCTTGCGAAATCCTTGAGCCAGAAAACGGCTGCGGACCCCCGATTTTATCAGAATTGTTCGATATTGGCCCAATGGGCGGCGGTTCAGAAAGACCGACATGGCCACGTAATGGCAATTCTCGCGGAGAGAAAGTTGTAAGATTCCGATCGAAAGTGCCATTACCCAATGTCTTGTCGCTACTCAGAGGTTTCCACGGATTTGCACTTTGTGAAGTGTGGCTGCCGAGCTTGGACCCGGGACCCCACGGAGAATATGAGCTCTGGTTATTAAGGTTCCCTCTCCACGGTGCACCTTTGTCATCCAGTGCCGGTTCTCTATGTTGATCCTGTTTTTGGTTGTGGGAGGACTCTTCGTGTTGCTGTATCCCATTTGGCTTGGAAGCATCGTCGCGTGTTGGAGATACACCATGCTGGCCGGGAGCAACAGCAGGAGAAGACTTCTCAGAGACACTCTCACTAGCCGCGACAAGCTTTTTCACTGACTCAGGATGGTGTACCTTCATCATCCCGTACTGCTTGGGCTCTCCAGAAGGTTCAGGAACGGGAGGTTTAGGAGGGGACTGGGTGGGCGCCGAAGATGTAGAAGCCGGCGCAGCAGGCTCCTTCGTGGTTGGCTTCGTAGCAGCTGGTTCGTCCTGAGTCTTCGGTTTCTCCTTTTCCTTCTCCATTTCTTTCTCCTTCTCCTTCTCCTTCTCTTTCTCCTTCTCCTTCTCTTTGTCCTTGTCCTTACTCGGAAGGGGCCCCAAAGCTTCCAGCTTCAAGCGAATCCGTTCACGTCGTTCAGCTTCCTCCCTTTGCTCTTGCTCCATCCTCCGCTGACGAGCTTCTATCCTCTTTTCCCTCATGATACGTTGCTGCATAGCTATAGGATCTTCCTCCATAATCTGGGCTCCGTTCTGCTCATTTGAAGCTGACGGTGCTCCAGTCTGAGGCACACCGGCATGGGACCCAGGAGGAGCATAGGTCATGTTTGCCGAAGACCGAGGCTGCCAGCCTGGGTCAGTAGATTGCTGATTAGGTGAGGCTCCTCGTGCTGCAGCTTCCTTTGAAAGCGATGTCTCGCTGGGAGACGCTGATTGCTCAAGAACTCCATTGGCTTGAGAACCTCTCCGTAAGTCGTGGAACTTTGAAAGACCATCTGGTCTTCCTAAGGACATGCGACGACCGTAGCTACCGCTCCCCCCACTAACGTTTGACGATGTACGCCGTCGAGTCCAATGGCTACCTTCCTGGTTGCTCGTCCTATGCGTTTGAAAAGCAGGCGAAGGTTCTGCGGGCCCGGTTTGTTCATTGTGAGTCGGTCGTTGTAAAAGGGAGGGTGTGCGCATCTGTGGTTCGTTCCGCGAAGCCTTTCGGGTGTCATGGACAGGTTCATATCGTCCTGACTGAGAGTTGTAAAGCTCTCTGGTAACGTTAGTATGGTTATCCCTCCAAGATCGATTGAAGTCATCCGCTGCGATTTCCCGTGCAGGCTGGGGCCCAGGAGCGGTATCGGGACCCTGCTGCTGCTCTCTCTGAGGAAAGCGCATGGGTGGTTGGGCTTGGACTGGTGGGTTGACTGGCGATACTTTGTCAATAGGCGGCAGGGGTGCCCAAGGCGATTTAACAGGTGGAGGAGCCGGGCTCTTTGCCGTCAAAGCAGGCTTTTCGTTTCCAGCTTTTGATGTGATAGCAGCCTTTGCTTGTTGTTGTTGTCTTTCTGCGTTTGCCCCAAGCCGAAGTACAGTCGCATTTGGTCCAACGGTGGTCGAAGACTTGGAGAAGAGGACCTTGGAAGTATCACGACTTGTGGACTGATCAGCAGGTGGAGTATCTTTCACATCCTTGGACCGCTTTTCGTCTTGAGTAGGAGCCGACACACTACTTTCAGTATGGGTGAGTGTAATTTTAGTCCCGTCGTTCCATTCAATCGTCTCCGGGGCCCAGTCATCCTCGTCGTCATCGATGTCTGCCCACTTTGCTTCCGTCCCACTGCCGTCTTCTTGGATACGAGACGTCATGTGTATGCCGTACTGTTGCTTTAGTTCTTCATCCGTAAGATGCTTCGAAGGCGGGGGCTGCGCGGCTGCATAAGTAGGTTGTCAGCATCCATCTTCCTACGCGATCCCGCTGTCGCACTCACGTCGGTTTTTGTTCCAAACCTGACTTGGGTCGGGACCACTTCCTGCGCTCTTCAATCCTGTCGTGAGAGTCTTGGATGCGGAATCTCGTAGTCCACTAGTAGTCTTCGCGACCAGACGCGGTCTTGTGCTAGGCTGTGGAGACGCGCTCGATGACGTGGATGATAGGGTTACTGCAACATTAGCCATGATTCGAGATGGGTATCGAGACGATAGCTACCTTTGTCACCTGTTTTCGAAGGTGGCGCAGAGCCTGGAGCTTTGGGGACTGAAAACTTGGTGAACGAAACCGGCTTGAATGTCGTTGGCTTCTTGACCGAGCTTGCACGAACATGATGTTTGCCATCTGTTCGACTGGTGTCCGACTCTGAACCCCCCAATGAGCCAGTATCCTCTCCACCATCTGACGTCGATGTAACCCCGTTGAGTTCTAGTGCTCTGGTTGCCACGGCGCCTGGACCTTGTTTGCCGCTGTCCTGTATTGGGTTCAGTACTGCTCAGCAGGCCCGTTTCTTGGATAAACTCACCGCAGCCCGTTCACCGGAAAGCTTTTCATTCTCCTGTTTCTCTTTTGGAGAAACAGAGTCATTTTTCTTTTCATCCAGGTGCTGCCCAACCGTTGATGAGTCGCCTTGCGCTGTGACTGCGTTGTCGTCGATTCCCCCCACGTCCCCTCCAGCAGATTCCTTGTCGGGTTTGCTCGCAGGAACGTCGGAAGGCGAAGGCTCGCCGCCCGACCGGGTTTGGTTTACCACATCGTGACTGGTCTGCTCTGCCATACCAACATGCGAAGCTGCAGGTTGCATGAGGTTAGATCAAGATCTCGGCAAAGTGGATGATGTGAGGGTAGAGCATCTGATTTCACAGAAGCGCACACATATGTAAATGAATCTTGGCTATACCTATTGTCAGATATTAGGGATTATCACGGTAAACTGATAGCTCTCAACGGCCAGAGCCCTGAGATGAAGGGTCAGGACGACCTGATGACGTGCGGCAGAGATCGCCCAACCTGCAAGGTTGAGGGTGGAGCGGTCAACAATCCAGGACCAGTAGAGTGGTATGGAGACCGAGAAAACCGCGTAGTGTGATCCCAAGGGTGCGAGGGGATTACGGTCGCGAAGAGTGATGATGGGAAGTCCTGGAAAACATTAGGAGCGGTTGTCATATGGAGCCAAGCTGAAGTGGCCGCTTTCGGTTAGCGCGGAGCGAAAATGAGGATGTGAAAGGCACCACGTTCACAGCCAGTAGGCGGTGGCAGATGACCTGTATTATCAGTGATTCATAACCCTCACGGTAGGATTCCTCCTGCTAAAACAGGTCTGGATATAAATTCCGTCAAATTTGTGCAATGGACAGCATAAAAGCCGTGATAACCTGTCACCCATGCTATTTATAAGGCCTCACTATGGGATTACTACTACTGCACAGACCTCTTTGCCCAAAGCGCATAGCATCTACAGAAAGGTGAAGGCTTGAGTCCACAGCTTTGCGTCCTCTACATGAATCTGGAGATAATTCTTAATTTTCAGCCTATCTGTCTCTTGATTCCTGCTTCACATATATGTACAGCTATCCTGCTTCAACAACCTGTGCATCTAGAAACATCTAGTGCGCATTGTGCTTGTGGTGCCCTACCAAAGAATTGAAATTAGTTTATGCTACAGTTGTACCTAAGGAAATCGGAGGGAGCCCATACGCAGGTGGAAGTAGTATTCCATGCTGTAGCCGAGAAGGACGAGGGTGCCGATGACGTGGAGAAGCGCTATTTGGCGTGGAAAAGAGTAATCAGTCAATCTGAACCATAACCACACAGTTTATCTTGGAACGTACGCATGGCAGACGGGTTCTTTCCGAAATAACGAGCCTGGTAGCGCTCGAGAAGACCGGTGGGCTTGGGCTCAGGAGCGGCGCCCCGAGGGAGTCTTGCGTAGAAGTTAACCACGCGGTTCATGCGGGCAGCATCTTGCGCAGCGCCAATCGCCTTCATATAGGTCAGCAATCCACTCTTTAAGGACAGAGTTCAGTAGCATGACGGCGTTTTGTCTGAGATTGATGGGCGCCAACGGACGAACGGAAGGGACGGGACATGGCCGGCAGCAATGCAAATCGAATAGGCTAGACTCACATTCGGAGATGCGATCTATTTAGCAGTTAGCAAACCATTTGATGTCAGATGCAAGCCAGATTTCCGTGAAACCGTACCTTGGGGGGGATCAGGGTGGACAGAGCCCGACGGGTAATGTAGCTCATTTTGTCTGATCTGGAGCAAGTCAGCCATATCTCAATCGCTATAGGCACGACGAGAAGGTACAATTCCAATTGTACATACCTAGATTCAGCGGGGAATGAATCAGAAACGACCGACAAGGTGTTGATGGAGGAAACTGAAGTGGCTGCGAGGTTCGGATTTCCGAGTCTGAGGCTCCTTCGGAATCTCATGACGCGCTAACCGCATTTGGGGTCTCATCGACCTTGCCGCCCGTACCTCCCTCACATCACGCCCTTCTCAACCTGCACGGTTGGCTTCATTACATCTAAGCTGACGGTGTTCCTACCACCAGTCCATGATGTCTCTCGTGAGAGCTCGAAGCGTCGCCTGCTTCCGAGCAGGCAGGCTTGCCGCTCCTGTCAACGCTCGTTTTGTCTCAAACTCCACTGAAGCGCCGGTCAAGACCAGCCCTTCCGAGGCGCCGACCACGCCTCAGACCGAGAGCTCCCTGATCAGGAAGGAGAGTCCTTCAGAAGCAATGGCTCGTCATCAGCCAGATTATAATGCGACCATTGACCATGGCACATCGTATGGGCTTTGTTGTGATTGTTCTTGAATTTGACGTCTAATTGTTCTTCACAGGACCTTCTCGCCTGTACCGAAGCGTGTTATGGATGGCAGCGAACCCGGTGATGTTGTGGCTGCTGCAGTCCTGTCTGGAGCGCCAACCGACCTCCAAGCCCGGACTGTCAGGTACGTTCATTGAAAGTGCGAACCTTCCAGTCGGTGACAGTCGCTGAGTTTGTCTGTCCAGAATCTACAAGCCGTCGAAGCCCGCAACGCAATCTGGGACCTGGCATAGCCACCATTGGCGGATGGACTGGGATCCTTTGCCGAAGGGTTACCGATGGGAAAACCCTCTGATAGGCTGGCAGTCATCTGCTGATGCCATGCAGGGCACCCACTTGAACTTCAAGACCAAGGAGGATGCGATACTGTTTGCACAGAAGCAAGGCTATGAATATTATGTTCAGGAGCCCAATGAGCGCAAGTTTGTCCCCAAGGCTTACGCAAACAACTTCCTGCATTCGCCGAAGAAGCTCAAGCACATCAGAACAAAATGAACATGTTAGTTGTTTCTGTGCAGTATCATGTATATAACCGCAAATTCTTTGACTTTTCTGTGTGTTCCTGTTCTTCTTAATTATTACTTGACACAAAACAAGAATCAAGGATAGAAACCAGTTTTAATTATGCTGAGGTCTATTCTGTTATCGATGTATGGGAGAGCACCGCGTGTGAAGTTGCACATAATGGAAGGGATGGCCACCCGCAAGAGAACAGGTCTTGAAATAATAATGTATTTGTTGAAATACCTGATGATAAATAGTTGGCCATTCTACAGAGGATGCAGAACCACAAATCAGCGGACACAATCATCATACCATAATATCCTCAGGAATTTCTGCATTGTCCCGTTGTCCTGTCTGTATACCTCGTGGCTCTATTGACAAAACGTTTGGTTCTAGGTGTGTAGAAAGAAATACAAGTTGGGCCACTAGAGTGCCATTTTAGACGGTAGGTGAACAACTGCTTCTCTCGTCTGCTATGGACATCGCCAGAAGGTTAACTCGTTATATCCTTAGGTGGGGGTCGCCAATTTCCAACAAGGTTCTTTTCTCGAGGCGATCTGATCTCGCATCCAGACCGAGAAGTCATACTCTCCAGCTCCTTCTGAGGGTCTAGCTAAGCGTAACAATAACGTACTTTTGCAAACCATGGTCAAGAAAATTAGTGCCTATTCTGCATGTGATTTTTATTCAAACTCCATGCCCAGATGCAATCTTTGTTCCAATACAAAACGAAAATAGGACTTTTCCTGCGGAGTACTCTGCAGAGCGCTGTGGTCAATCGACCAATAATACCAGACAGGGCAAGGCGCCCCGCCACCCCGCCAAAAAACTATCGCAACCGCGATAAGATTAAAAAAACCGGTGACTGGAATTCGACGAGGTTTTGCCCGCCATATCCGAGCCGCTCTGCAATTTCCAGTATTGTTGCTTTTCTTTCAATAATTTTTGTCTAAAAGGAGGAAATAATCATGGCAGAGCCTCAGGATCCCACTGTCTCCGCTCTTCGCGAAGTTCTCACTAACGAGTCCGAACCGCTCGCACGTCGATATCGCGCTCTTTTTTCTCTGAAGCACCTTGCTTGCCTGCAGCCACCTACTGAAAAGACCCTTCCTGCGATTCAAGCGATAGCCGCGGCTCTTTCGTCTCGGTCGGCGCTCTTAAAGCATGAGCTTGCGTATTGCCTCGGCCAATCCAAAAACCCCAACGCAATTCCCTACCTGCGCCGTGTCCTCGAAGACCGCAACGAAGATGCCATGTGCCGGCATGAGGCTGCGGAAGCTCTTGGGGCTCTTGGATATCCGGAAAGCTTAGACATTCTGAAGGCCTTGAGAGATGACAAAAACGAACCAGACGTAGTCCGGGAGACTTGTGACATCGCTGTCGACAGAATCCTGTGGGAAACGTCGGAAGAGAGAAAGACGGAAAAGCTAAAACCAAGGTTTGCTTCTACGTACGCGGACGCATATAATCGACTTTTAACTGACATGTACTGTTTTCGAATTTAACAGTGACTTCGCTTCTATCGACCCTGCTCCCCCACTTCCCATATCAACCAAAGAACCCTCAATTGAGGAGCTGGAAGCGACATTGCTGGATACTAAACTCCCCCTCTTTAAAAGATACCGTGCCATGTTCGCCTTGCGAGACCTTGCTTCTCCACCTGACCTGCCTACCGCAACCCCAGCTGTTCAAGCCCTGGCGAAGGGGCTAAAAGACCCATCCGCACTATTCAGGCATGAGATAGCTTTCGTATTCGGGCAACTGTGTCATCCAGCAGCAATTCCGAGTCTGACAGAAACCCTAAGCAATTTAAAGGAGGTTGGCATGGTTCGGCATGAAGCCGCCGAAGCTCTTGGTAGCCTGGGCGACGAAGAGGGTGTGGAAGAGACCCTGAGAAAGTTTTTGAACGACCCAGAGCAAGTCGTGCGAGACAGCATCATGGTGGCTCTTGACATGGCGGAGTACGAGAAAAACGGTGACAAGGAGTATGCGCTGCTACCAGAGACAGTCTCCGTCGCCTGAAGGTGACTCCCCAAAAAGTCGGAGGAGTTTGTTTGCTGCTTTTCGTTTGTACTCGTATGTACTTGTGGTATTATTATAGACCCATGCATATGTGCGTTAGTTGTTGACAGTCTCCCTATGGTGATTGGTTAGTAAAAAAAAGCTCTTTAAAGGGATAAGTTGAAAATTAGAATGAGCAGGCAGATAACATACTTGTATCCACACACACATCTGTAAAAAACTGTGCTTCCTTCATCTGCACTACGCAACTGAGCTGTCGTAAAGAACATTTCTTTCCTCCCACACTTGGCACAAGTATGTTGAGCAATAGCCTCGGTCTTCTTGTCTTCAGCAGTCAAGGTCTGAACTGCGGATCTCTTTGATCTTAACGCGGAAGGGAAAGCATTCGGCTTCGACTCGGAAATGATGGTCTGTGGAACTATATCTGAGGTAAAGGTCAGTAATTAAAGATCATCAGTTGCGCTCAGGAAGTGAGAGAAACTCACCTCTGTTTCGAGCCCCGCAAACGTCACAGACGAGGATAGTATTCGGGTCACCTGTAGACTCGTGTAGAAGATTTCCACAATCGGTACAGAAGATCAAGGACCCAATTGCAGACATGATGTCTAGCCTAGGATGTCGTAAGAATTTTTTTTTAAAAAAAAATAACTCTTCAGCTTGAAGAGTTGAGGGAATTGTATTTTATGAAGGCGTGAGAATCTTTCCAGCGGCTTGGTTCCTTTGGGAAAGATTTGCAGGGCTCCAGCGGTGCCTGCCTTCGGGTGCCTAAGCTGCCTAAGACCGATCGGTGGAGCACTGCGCGGCAAGAGCATCTTGTTCCGCGCTTGAAAGCGGCAAGTGCATCGCTCATTGAACATGGATAAAAAGACTTATGTTGGCAATTTTCCTAACTGATCACCATGTCTTTTGACCTTCTGCATTTGCAAGGCCATGTCTCTGAGGGAAACACAGGTTTTTCGTCCCACTGATTTTTCAACCGAGTGCCCAACTTGGTAGGAGCAGCACGTCATGGACCAGGCTCGACCTCCTGCAGTGCAGGTGGTCATCAACGGCCATGGGCAGCCTCAAGCGTATCCCCATGGAGGCCCAAACGGCGCTCAACAGCGCCATATGAGGCCTCTGTCAGTTGATGAAGCGTTACAATATTCTCCCATGACGAGTGCTCCTATCTTTGGCTTAGGTGTGTCTGGTTGATTTCACCCATCTTTCATCGAGCCCTCACTAATAGCTATTGTTCAATAGATTCGATACTCCGCCCTGACGTTGGCGGCCCATCATCCACCGGTTCGATCGGATATTCTCGACGAGCAGGACGTAATCTCCTTAATGACCTCGACAATGAGACTCGCTTGGGCCTAGAGAAGTCCACCCAACTGAGCACGGCTCAGGAATACCTCCAACAATTGCTTGACGGTGATCAGTTGACGGAATTGTATGTCTGCTCAAGGGCTCTTATGATAACTGATATTTACGTTAATCAAACATAGTAAATTCACCCTTCCGGCTGGTACAAAGAGTTTCGACAGCTCGTCCGCCTCCGCTGCTGACGGTGCGCGTGGGATTCGTGGTAAACTGGGTCCGTTCGCCAACATGGTTCTGGACGCAACAGACATAGCATTTCGCTGTAAGCCACACCTACCTATATCTGTCTATGTTTATAAAGCTGAAAAGCCACTGCAGATCCGACTCCCAGTACACCGGGCCCGAAAACAACCGCTGGCGTGCAGAATCAAACGTTCCTTCCCACACCGATTTCGTCGACGAAGCCCGTATCTTCTTCGAAAGGGGGTATTCCTCCCGACCAGTCGTCAAATGCTCTTTACAAACAGCCTCACGAAAAGTTCCCACAGCCCTCTGTTATTATCCCCCCACTCTCTCAGCAGGCTGAAGACGAGCCACTTGATGGCCAAGGGTCGGCCAAGAGAAGGAAGCTGAACACTGATGGCGAGAACTCTGTTCCGAGTTTCCGGTTGAAAGACCAGAAGGAGGAAGCGGACGCTGCTGTACTGAAATTACAAGATCTTCTACATGAGATTTTCGAAGCAGAAGATCGACTCGAACCAGATACCTCGTCAATGGCAGTCGTTCAAGAATCGAATGCAATATTCAGAGTCGCCAATGCCCTAGAAGTACACGGTCCTATTCTTGGCCCCGAAAGCCACAGTCGCCTCCAAAAGTCCATACAAAAAGTGGCGGGCTTTGAGAGACTGCATGATATCCCCTCGGAGTACTTGGCTCGGATCCAGAAGCTTTGTGAGGGGCCCGTATTAGCCGCACAGGCGCTGGATCTGAAACTGGACGATGCTTCAAATGATACGGAGACGCAAGATTGGCTGCGGAAGCTGGATGATATGCACAATGCTCTCTTGGCAATTGGAACGCTTCTCCACACCATGTCTGGTCGACGGAGTGAGAAAGAGCTATGTCCTGAAGATCTCATACAGGCTGTGCCGAATGTTCTAAATCAGGCATTCGACCACTGCATCATTCCTGCCGTTGAAGCCCGGCCCTCGGATAAGGAATCCCGGCTTTTCGAGTTCGTGGCTCGAGAAAAGAAAATCGTCGGCAGCCTAACTCATCAGGCAAGGAAGTTGCTCGCTCTTTTGGCCAACTTCCTCTCTCACATTGACGTGTCTGAGGGAGTCATCACTGCAACAGAATTCCTCGCGACGAAGTTGATTTTCGTGGAAAACGCCTATAATGACAGGGAATCTGCCATCGGTTATCAGAAATACGAATCTGTTCGGCGCGCATCAATGGATGTGCTTGCTAAAATCTTCTCAAAATATCCTCCCCAACGCCCGTATATTCTGGATGAGATCCTTGTCTCTTTAGAGAAACTTCCGTCTACTCGGCAGAACGCAAGACAATTCAAACTCATCGACGGAAAGAACATCCAGCTTCTAACCGCATTGGTGATGCAACTTGTTCAGACTACGGCCCTAGAGACACCTAGGTCTAGAAAGTCCAAGGCCAAGCGCCGACTTCCAATTCTGGGAGACGACGAGGACGACGAACTAGTTGGTGACAACAAGGATCAGGAGCAGAGTGATTCCGAAGATGACATGCTTGGCTCCAAGGTGTCACTGGAACGCCTTGCGAACCGGGTAGACAAGCTGTATGACAATGCAGTTCGCAGCGCTCAATACATCGTCAAATTTATTGTTCAACGTGCAATGACCTCGACAAAAACCGGTGACCAGCCTTACCGGAATCTTCTAGATCTCTTCACCGAAGATTTGATAAATGTCCTAGGCTCTACTGATTGGCCAGCAGCCGAACTGTTGTTGCGGATTCTCGCCTCACACATGGTAGGAATTGCGGAACTCGACAAGAGCCCTGCGACTGCAAAGAATATGGCTCTTGAATTGTTAGGTTGGATGGGTTCTGGTATCTCCGATCTCACTGCAGCTGCTCAGCATCTAGTCCCTGCTCTTGATGAAGCGGATACTGGCCTTTCCGAGTATCTTCGTCAATTGTTCGACGACCACTCGAGACGTGCCTTGCATGTCCAAGATCTGGTCGTTGCTGATGGCCCATATCGGATTGCGCTGGAATATCTGCAGGATCGGGATGTAGATAACTGGCAGCTTACTAGCGCACGAGGCTACTACACCGTGCAATGGGCGAAACTCATCTGCTCTACTTATTACGACTCCGATGAAAAACATGAAGTCCAAGGTCATGGAATCGATGAGTTGCTTTCTATTATCCCTAAGCTACTGTCCGATTCGAAGTGGTTGGAGACTAATAGGTACGTGCTTGTGGAGTTTGCATTGGGGACCTTGCTAACACCTCGCAGTCGTTTCAATAACGTCTCCAACACTCACGGGAAATTTGCTTACATGTTAACAGTACTGAATATGGGATTTTGCAAGGCTTTCGATACCATCATCAAGGTTCTTCTGAACTCTATCACTAGTGATCAAGCCAAGGTACGGAGTCGTAGTTTGAAGAGCGTGATTACCATGCTCGAAAAAGATCCAAGTCTTCTCGATCGAGACTCTTCCGTGATGCGAGTGATTCTCAGATGTGCGACTGATGCTTCACCCATGGTCCGTGATTCTGCGCTTTCTTTGATCGCGAAATGCATCGCTTTGAAGCCGGGACTAGAGGAGGAAGGATGTCGAGCAATACTGACCTGCGCTGCCGATCCCACCGCTGGTGTTAGAAAGCGTTGTATTGCGCTGTTGAAGGATATCTATTTGAAGACTACGCGGAAGGACCTCAAGCTGGCTATCTTGGATAGTCTTCTTCAGCGAACTAGTGACTACGAAGAAGGTGTGGCAGTACTGGCTCGCCAAACCTTTGAAGAAATATGGCTCGCTCCCTTCCACGGTTCCATCGACTCTCTCCAGGAAGACACGAAGTCTAAGGTTGCTCTCGCAGAGCAAGTGTCTCTCATTGTCAATCTGATCCAAAGGAGTGAAACCGCTGTCGAAAGCCTGGGAAGTTTTCTTAAGAAAATACTCGCCGATGCTCCAAAGTCAATGTCCTCAAACTTCAAGGTTTGCAAAGCGATGGTTGCCAACATGTTCGAAAGAGTGGTTGACGATTCCGAGTCTCCTGAAAAACTCAATCAACAAGCTCTTCTGCAGACCATGACAGTGTTTGCAAAGGCGAATGCGAGGCTTTTCAGCCCGGACCAGCTTAAGACTCTCCACCCTTATATCGGACATTTGGTCACAGGAGAAGATCTCTTTATCTTCCGTTCAGTTGTTGTGATCTATCGCTGCGTTCTTCCTTATATTTCTTCGGCACACAACACGCTTCTCAAAGAAGTGCAGAACGACCTCTTCAAGAGTGTGGCAAAGCTCGCCAGAGCTGAGCTGAACGAGGTTATGGCCTGCCTTTGGACGATAAACGGGGTTTTACAAAATACAGAAAGATTGGTAAAGCTTACAATATCCGTGCTGAAGGGCATAAATCAGGCTAGGGGTGTCAATCTCTCAGACAGCAGCAAGACCGACGTTTTGGGACGTGCTCGGAGTTACGTGCGAATTGCTGGCTGCGTAGGGCGACACTGTGACTTGGAGAAGTTCGAACCACACTTCAAAAATGCCTTCCCTTCTTGGAAAGGGGGCTCAGTTGCAGGTTTACTCGTGGACTCTATACTCCCTTTCACTTATCAAAACCAGCCTCTTGAACTGAGAACCATGGCTCTTGAGAGTCTCGGCGCTATCTGCCAGTCGTGGCCTGCGCAATTCAGCCGAGAAGAGCCAAGACAAGTATTGTCATCCGTATTCAAGGAGGATAATGCAAACTTGCAGAATATTGTCCTCCGAGCATTTTCCGATTTCTTTGCCATCCATGAAGGGAAATCGGAGAAACTAGTTCAGCCGTCAGCTGACTCTGCTGAACCAGAAACCACCACTAGGTTTGGAGGATCATTAAAAGCCAGCGACAATGATGGCGCCGCAGCCCTGATTGCCCAACATTTCCTCCAAGACATGCTTCGAGTGGCCCAGTCGAGGCAAGATTCATACGCTCTTACTGCTATTGAACTCATTGCCAGTATCAACCGCCAAGGCCTCGTCCATCCAAAGGAGTGTGCCGGTGTCCTGGTCTCACTTGAGACTTCGACTGTTCCAGCAATAGCTAAGGTTGCATTTGAGACGCATAAGATGCTCCATCAACAGTATGAATCCATGTTCGAACGAGAGTACATGCGAGCCATCCAAGATGCTTTCTATTATCAACGAGACGTGGTGGGCGACTCGAGCGGTGCATTTGCACGTCCGTATACTGCCAAGCTCGCACCGTTGTTTGAGATTGTGAAGACCAGCAACAGCAGATATCAGAAGAAATTTCTCTTCAACCTGTGTTCGAAAGTGAACTTTGAGTTGAAGGATCTCGACACATCGGGAAACCCGCCGGAGCACCTCCTCCTGGCCAGATTCATATCTCAGAACCTGGCCTTTTTCGACTACGGTCAGCTGGCTGAACTTATTCCTACGATTGCGTGTATGGAGCGTATTGTGGCTTCAACCGGTACTATCGTGGCTCATGCGATCGAGACGGAAGTATTCCCGACCAATATCGAGCCTGTCAAAAACGAGGGGGAGAACGTCACTCAACCCGCTATCGATGTTCCGACGGACACTGCACCGGTGCAGACGGTAAACCCTCATACCCTTCGACAACTAGCTACTGCAGCCGCTATTCTGTCGATGCTATGGGAAGCTCGATCACATCTGCGACGGTTGTATGGAATTAATGCCCACGTCCGTCAACAAGAGGCGAAAACAAACATAAAAGAGCTGAACAAAGCACCAACAAAGGTCCACGGAGTCACAGGGGATAGGTTCTGGGAGGCGATCTCCAAGAATATGGCCTGCTTGGAGAGCGAGGAATCCATGCGGGAAAAGTGCCGGGATTTTGCAACCCTTTTATCCATTGACGATGAGCTGAAGGTTGCTGGTGACGATGACCTGGACCGAGACAGCCCTGATGATGGCGCAGAAGGAGATGAGGTAGGGTCCACCACTTTGGGCGCCAACGGAAACAAACCTATGAAGCGGAAGAATTCGCTTTCTGGCGGGCAGCCACCCAAACGCCCCAAGGGCAAAGGCAGAAATAGCGGCGGCAAGAAACGAACTAGTTCTGAACCCGACGATCTGCTAGGTGCCGATTGATCTTTCATGTATATGCCTGTTTTCTTAGGGAAGGTATAGAGGTATACTGGCTTTCGCATTTGGAGAGGGCGTTGTTAACAAGGGTCGGGACGGAAATTCATGGAGTTTCTTTTTTATTTTGTTTTCTGGTATCTCTTCCGAGGAAAAGTGTTTCCCAGGGTTGTACACCATATTTACACTCCCAGCAAGGGACAAGGAATGTACCCTACGGACTCTAGGAAGGGTCTTGCTCTCATGATCTCTAAAATGACAGGCATAGATTTAATTAATAGTTTATAATAGCAGGTATGTTTTTACAGCGGTGCGATGGCCCACTAGGAAATAAGTTTCTAATGACGTGAGCCTTGACTAAACATGCAGCTACCGTCTTCTATCTATGTACTCCGTAAGCTCTAGATAATGGCAATATTTCAGGATCCTGGTGCCTGATCCGCATTTCCGTGCCGATCCCGTTCAGCTGTGAAGACACCGGCGGCTGTCACGTGCTGCGGCCGCGGAGATGACGTCGCATTGTTAGGCGCAACGCAACATCTTGGGATGGTTGCTCACTGCGGTTTTTTTTCTCTTCTAGCGTATTCCATCGCTCTTTATATTTATATGCTTAGTACCTGGCGCGTTCGTTGAAATTCTTGGCCAATGGCTTGAGTACGACTGTCCTTGATGATTGACTAACCGTTGTTGCTGTCCGCTGTCTGTTATCTCGCATCTCGCAATGCAGACAGCCGTCCTGAGGGGCCTCCTGGACGGCGTCACACGGAGGAGCATCGGCGCGCTCACTCATCGATTCAATGGCGCTCGACCATCCGTACTCTTGAATACGGCGATACGGCGGTCATTCCACTCTCCCCGTCAACGACCCGCGACCCAATGTCTCCGTCTCCGGTGCTCTGCTGCCAGACCGTCTCTCACCGCCGCGATATGTGTCCGTCATAAGTCAGATGGGCCCAGCAAGGTCCAGCGACGGCCAGCCTTGAGGATTCTGTATCATGTTTTCGCGTACTGTGGCTTTTTCATCATTAGCTGCGGTGTTTTTGTTCTTGCCTTCTTTATCTACGATGCCTCCACATATCGCGAAGATCCCAGCACAGAAGATATTCCCGTGTCGGAGTTGGCGCTGAACCCCAGGAGAGGCGGACCTAAGAACCTGCCCATCGCAGAAGTTCTGGTGGATGATGAGGATTCTGAGGCCCATCAAGCGTTGAAAGACAAGCCTAAATTGGTCATCCTTGGCACTGGATGGGGTAGTACCGCTTTGCTGAAAACTCTTAATCCTGGTGACTATCATGTTACCGTCGTGTCCCCTGTAAACTACTTTCTGTTTACGCCAATGTTGCCCTCCGCCACCGTCGGCACTTTGGGGCTGAAATCGCTGGTTGAGCCTGCCCGGCGGATTGTACAGCGTGTAGGGGGTCACTTCCTGAAGGCTCAAGCAGAAGACGTGGATTTTTCTTCCAAGTTGGTTGAGGTCTCTCAAGTTGATGCCAACGGGGAAAGGCAACATTTCTATCTGCCGTATGACAAGCTGGTTATCGCCGTCGGTATGCTCTGTTCTCGTTTCTGATCGTGGGAAGATATCTGCTGACCATAGATTTGAGGCTCTGTAACCAATCCACATGGCGTCAAGGGTTTGGAGCACTGTCACTTCCTAAAAACAGTCGACCATGCCAGGGAGATCAAGAATAAGGTCACCGAGAACATGGAACTTGCGTGCCTGCCCACTACGTCCGACGAGGAACGCAAGCGACTGCTCTCCTTCGTCATTTGCGGCGGTGGTCCAACAGGAGTTGAGTTTGCAGCGGAGCTCTACGACCTGTTGAATGAAGATCTGTTGAAGTCTTTCCCTAAGATCCTGAGGAACGAGATTTCCGTCCATCTTATCCAGAGCCGGAGCCACATTCTCAATACCTATGACGAAGCTCTTTCCAGATACGCCGAGGTACGTTTCCTATTCTTGTTATGACAAGCAAACATTTCTAGGAAAAAACGCTAAGTCTGGAAGGCTCGTTTTGCGCATGAATCGGTCGAAGTTTTGACCAACGCCCGGGTCAAGGAGGTCCAGCCCGACAAGATATTGTTCACGCAGATGGAAGATGGCAAGCTCGTGACGAAGGAGCTCCCAATGGGTTTCTGTCTGTGGTCAACCGGAGTTGGTGAGTCCAGTACAAGGTGTTCTCCAGCCTCGCTGTAGCCGATTACTGACGATCGCGGGACAGCTCAAACCGAATTTGCTAAGAGGCTTGCGAAGAAGCTCGCGGGGCAGAACAACAAACATGCTCTCGAAACCGATACCCACCTGCGTCTGATCGGAGCGCCGCTGGGTGATGTCTATGCTATTGGCGACTGCGCCACTGTCCAAAACAACATAGCTGATCATCTTGTCACGTTCCTTCGTACGATCGCATGGGAGAAAGGAAAAGATCCGGAAAAAGTCCATCTCACATTCAAGGAATGGCGAGAAGTGGCCCAACGGGTGCGGAAGCGTTTCCCTCAGGCCGCTAATCACCTGCGGCGGTTAGACCGGCTGTTTGAGCAGTATGATAAGGATCATTCCGGCACCCTTGACTTTGGCGAGCTTCACGAGCTGCTGGTTCAGATCGACTCCAAACTCACCTCCCTACCGGCCACCGCTCAGCGAGCGAACCAGCAGGGCCAATACCTCGGACGCAAATTCAACAAGATCGCAGAGGCCCTCCCAGGCATGAGGGCCAACGAGATCGACTACGGTGATCTCGACGAGGCTGTCTACGATGCCTTCAAATACAGGCACCTGGGCAGCCTGGCCTACGTCGGGAACGCCGCCATTTTTGACTTCCCCGGTCTGAACTTCAGCGGCGGGCTGTTGGCCGTCTACCTCTGGCGCAGCATCTATTTCTCTCAGAGCGTCAGCCTGCGGACCCGAATCCTGCTTGCCATGGATTGGACAAAGAGGGCGTTGTTTGGCAGAGGTATGATGATCGCTCAATCCATTCTAGTCTGACTCTTTCTTTCTTTTTCTCTCACCTTGGTTGCTGACATTCGACACTTGGTGTTTCCAGACTTGATGAATTTCTAAATTAAGGCATATATATATGTCGCGCGCTTTTCTTTCCCTTTTTTTTTTGGGAGGTATCGATCAGGTTTCAACCAATCGGCTAAATTTTGGAAGAGGAGGTCGAGGAATTCCCAGGGTTACGTTTTTCTACGGACGGTTTTTTTTTCGTATGTGCGTGTTGATTTTTTTTTGATCTTGAAAGACGTTAGGTATCTCTCTTTCCTTAAGCCCAGCTTTACCGTTCTCTTGTCTCTCTTTCTTTTTTTCTTGCCCTTTTCGGTTTCTTCGGTTTTCCACTTTTTTTTAGTTTTCTTCTGTTTGTCGTCGCCTAGTGGTTGGTATACATGGGTTTCTATACCTTTCTATAAAGATATATAGAAAAGATCTATATATCTCTCTATGTGTGTATATATAATAACTATGCAGAGGCTATATACAGAGAGAACAGTGGACGATCTCTGATAATTAGCAAGCAGGACTCTAGATCCTCCAGATACAGGATGCATCTGGCGTGAACTTTCGCATATATATATTTGACTATTAACTTTATAAACTGCAACGACGGCAGATATATTACTTTGTACACTGATCCACCAGGAAAACTGTGCTTCATATTAGATAGATTGACAGATGATATAAATAGTAGATCTCGTTATTTCACTAGAACACTTCCATTCAGAACGCAATGCAAACCCTTCCTTCGCCAGTCCGTTGGAAAACCCCAAAAGCAAACCGATAATGCCAGATGCCTCAACGCCTCGCTAAATGCAGGATCATTTCATGTATACATCATAACTCTCGCAGGCCTGCTACGAGGCGTGCGCTTGCGTAGTCGAGTGCCGACGACGTCGACTGGGACAAGATTTACGAGACCATGGGATCAACGTCCCCATTGTTAGTCATTACAGCATCCTCAGAGTTGCCATTCTGGTTGGTGCCGGCGTCATGATCGTGATCTGAATTCGTTTTATCCGGGACCAATCCCAGGTCCAAATGGTCGGGTATGTCTTTCTTCGCTTCTCGTGCTTTCTGCTCCGCCCATGCGCGGAGCTTGACCAGATTGCGCAATCGAGCCTCTTTACGCGCACCTTGGCTTTGCAAGATGGCTTCGTTCACTTTCGTTGCGATCTCCTTGCGCAAATCAGGATGAAGCAGAGAGGCCAGCGAAGGGGCCAGGTTTTCCGACGGGAAAATCAAGAGAGCCAGAGTACGCTCCAAGTCTTCCAGAAACTGTGGATTGGTTGGAGCTCGCGGCGCGAGCTGGGACGTTGCAAAGTCCAGCGCCGGTGTGATGTCTCCATCAGGACTGGAGGTGCATTTACGAATCAGCTCGACAAGCTGTAATCGGAGAAGAGAGAAGTGAAGAGACGGATTTTCATCCAGGATCTGCAAGGATCGATGTTAGTGATTGATGAATAACACCGGTACGATGACGGGCGAATATCATGATCAACAAATACACAACGCTGCTCATACTGAGGACTGAAGATGTTTGTTCTTCATCAACACCCGAAAGGGTATATGAGTGGTGCATGAAACTGGTTTAATCATAGCAAGGAGGATGGGAGATAAACAAAAGAGATGGCATTCCACAGGAGACCAGTTACATACCTGAGGGTTCAGCTCATTGATTTTTTCAATGGCGGTCTGAATGTCTCCCGAGTGGATCGCGCTGCGAATCTCTACTCGTTCCTGAATCGACTCGATGTCGGCCCTCGGCTGGATGTTGGCCTCCGCTGCAAATTTCTTTGCAGCTGCAGGATAACCATTGGTGACGAGGTAGTCCATCACAAGATAGTTGATGTCACTACCAGAAAGTGTCAGCTATTACTGTGCATGACAAAGACGTAAGACAGCAAGAATGCTCTATAGATCAACAAAGACTCAGACAAGTAATTATGGTTTCCTCAAGAGTAGTTCGGAGAGATTCCCAACTTGTTCTTAGGCACATCATGCAAAAAGGAGAGGAAAAACTTGGGCAAAGGAGACAAGTGTACTCACGTCTTGGAAGGCTTGACCTCGTCCACCTTCTTCTCAAAGTGGTGCCATGTTGGCGTGGTGGTGGAGGGAGTCGACGACATCTGCTTGCTGTTAAAACTGGTAGACGCCACGAGCACGGCGGGGCCATACGTAATTGGTGGAAGCCATGATATAGCAGATAGCAAGCGATGGTGTTCTAGGACTTTCGAAGGTGATGGGAAGGCTGTCTCTCGAGCTGAAAAGCCGTCGAGACGGGAGCCATGAGGGAGGTGTAGCAGGCGAGGTCTGGTGACAGGCCTGGCGGCACAAAGGAGAGGAGAGGAGGAAAGAGGGAAAGCAAGCGAAGCGGCCGGAGGCAGCCAGGCAGCCCGGCACAGAGTCGGCCCGATTGCCCTTTACAGCCGCAAGCGAGGCTGGTCGGGTTTGCCCGATTTGCGCGATTTGCGCGGTTTGCCTTGTTTGCGCAGTTTGCAACATGTCACGTCCCTCGTTGCCTGAAAGAAATGGATCCGCAGGCACACGCTATCCGCTCTGGGGAAAGCGTAGCCGACCTGGACAGTGACCTAATGAAACGCTCCACCACAAAAAGTGACAGGAGCTCTGATAAGCGCTTTTACCTGTGCATGGTCGCCATTATTTAATTTGTTCGAGGCCTGGGATGGACTGATCCTGATCCTGACCCTGTGAGGTTCTGGGCGGCAATGTCGAAAGTGTGCTGGAACATCGCTGCCGGTCTGCCCTAGTGTTGCTACATACAAGCGTTATCTACTTACTTTGCGAGACAAGATGCAGTCCCTCCCGCCCATTTACTCGTCCGCCACCAACGAGAAAAAATACTCGCCGCCATGGGAAGATCTGAGTATCATTGGAATCGCTGGCAGCTCGGGTTCTGGCAAGACATCGGTGGCTATGGAGATCGTGAGGTCTCTGAATCTCCCTTGGGTCGTCATTCTCGTAATGGTACTGTACATATCGTCGGGCTGCAGTGCTGGTAACGAGGCAAATGGTCCCTAATCTGGACGGATGCAGGATTCCTACTATAAGACCTTGACTCCAGAACAACATGAGAAGGCCCATCGGAACGAGTATGATTTTGATTGTCCTGAGGCTCTCGACTTCGATGCCTTGGTGCAGACTCTGCGGGACTTGAAGCGAGGGTAAGCCTTTCTTGCCGGGCTGGAGAAGCGGTAATCAGCTGCTCTTCATCAAGAGCTAACTGCGGTATAATTTCAAATAAAAAGGAAGAGAGCCAATATTCCAGTTTATTCATTTAAGGACCACCAGCGACAACCTAAGACGACCCCACTTTACTCTCCCCACGTCTTAATCCTCGAAGGAATCTTGGCCCTTCACGATCCCAGGATTGTTGAGATGTTGGATGTCAAAGTAGGCTGGTGCTTTTCCCCGCTGGCGATGGGGATTTGCCAAAGCTAACCCATTTTTCAGATCTTTGTGGAGGCTGACATGGACGTCTGCCTGGGACGAAGAAGTAAGCCATTGCTTGCAACACGAGGGTATTACGGGGTTTCTCTAATGGGAGATGCAAGCCAGTCCTGCGTGATGTCCGAGAGCGAGGCAGAGATGTCGAGGGCATTATTAAACAGTGGTTTACTTTTGTTAAACCATCGTACACGAAATATGTCGAACCGCAAAGACACATTTCAGGTCTGCACCCATCACTGCTCGGAAGTGCCGTAGACTGACGGTCCTTAAGATATCATCATTCCGCGTGGAATCGAAAATAAGACAGCCATTGGTGCGAATATGTTCAAATCCTATCTCCGAGATGCAAGCTGACTTGTTTAAGATATGGTTGTCAAACACATCCAGCGGAGACTGCAGGAGAAGTCCGAAAAGCATAATGCGGATCTGGCGAAGTTACGGATGCTCGCTTCAGAGGACGAGCTGTCGTCGAATGTCATCGTAATGAAGCCGACGCCCCAGTTTGTGGGCATGAACACCATCTTGCAAGATCCATCTACGGAGCAAGTAGACTTTGTCTTCTACTTTGATCGTCTCGCATCTTTATTGATAGAGAGGTGAGTTTCTTTCCCCAAATTTCGGATTGCCACAGACTAATATATTATATATAGAGCCCTTGACTTTACGCAATACGTCTCTGCCGAGGTGACAACACCTCAACAGCACAAGTACAGAGGCCTACTACCGTCGGGCATAGTCTCTGCAGTCTCCATTCTGAGAGGGGGTTCTTGTCTGGAAACGGCTCTGAAACGAACCATTCCCGATTGTATCACGGGCCGCATTCTCATCCAAACTAACGAGAAGACATCCGAGCCAGAGCTGCATTACCTCAAGCTTCCAGCGGGCATTGAAGAGCATTCCACCGTGATGCTTCTCGATCCGCAAATGTCCAGCGGAGGCGCGGCCCTTATGGCCGTTCGAGTCCTCGTCGACCACGGCGTGGAAGAAAACAAGATCGTCTTCGTGACATGCGCCGCCGGCAAAAGAGGGCTTCAGCGACTAACGTCCGTCTATCCTGAAGTGAAGGTTGTGGTGGGCCGAATAGAAGAGGAAGAAGAGCCCCGGTGGCTTGAAAAGAGATATTTTGGCTGCTGAATATTGCGCAATTTCGAAATCGCATGAGCTTTTCTTTTCTTTTCTTTTTTCAAATTTTTTCCCAGCAATAAAATTTCGCATAATGTCAAAATCTCCTGTTTCCGTTCTAATTTCATGATGCATGAAGGAGTTTTTGGCTATTGAGCATTTGGTCTTCCGACGAGAAATATGCCACAGTCTCACTATATATAGTCTCTAGACCGTATATCCCAATTTTTCCTCTTCTATAATGTACTTAGATACCTTCTGAAAGGGTTCTTATCATCGACAAGACACAAAATTTATATATTGTTCACCACAGTATAAACCCTTGTAAACTCAAACGATAGGTTGCTGGAAATATGAATAGCATGCGGGTTAGCTAGGTAGCTTACAACTGCGGACATCAGTCGGAGATAAACGCACGGGCCACATCAAGAAAAATCGCAAGTGCTCGACCGCCGCGATCGATAGTCAACAACTTGCAGACGAAAAACGAGTCTGAACATTTGAATTCAGCTTCTCGCAAGAATTTTGCTGGTGTTACCCCTTTTTGCGATAGTGGTTTTTATCTTTTTTCCCCTCCTCTGAATCTCCAGTCTCAACATTAACGTCTCTGCAAAATGACCGACTCTGCACGAAAGAAATCTAAAGGCGGCGGTGGTAAAGCTGCCGGGTCGATTATCAGTAAGTAGCAGCTATGTCCATTTTCTCTTTTTTCGCTTCCCCGTTGTAAGGACGGCTGAGTTGTGCAATGGGAATCATTTTTCAGAGAGAACTGTTGCTTTGACAAATTTCGATCGCTAACGTGTGAAATCGTGCAGCCGACCCTCGGTTTGCCAATATCCAGAGTGATCCCCGCTATCGCTTGCCCAGCAAAAAGCACACCCATGTCAAGATCGATAAGCGCTTTGCGCACATGCTGCGCGATAAAGAGTTCTCCAGAAACGCCGCCGTAGATCGATATGGCCGCAAATTAGCCCGGGACGACACCAAAAAACAACTCGAGAGATTCTATCGTTTGGACGAGGAGGAGGTGGAGGATGAAGAAGACAAGGCCTCCCAAGTCAGCGTTGATGATGACGAGGAGGTGCTTAGAGAATTGAAGAACGTTGAGAAGAGAGACTATGACCCAGCACGAGATGGCGGGTTCTCAGAATCCTCCTCCTCTGAGGAGAGTTCTAGTGACGAAGAAGATGATGAGGAAGATGCTGATGCTGAGGAGGTCGAGTTCCCCGTGAAGGAGCAGATGGACGTCCCGACAGGGGAAGTAACGAATCGGATAGCTGTCGTTAACCTCGATTGGGACAATATCCGCGCGGAGGATCTGATGGCTGTCTTCTCCAGCTTTACTCCGCCTGGTGGCCGTATTCTCAAGGTTTCGATATACCCCAGTGAATTTGGGAAGGAGAGAATGGAGCGAGAGGAAATAGAAGGCCCGCCCAAGGAGATATTCGCATCCCGAAAGAAGGAGGAAGAATCCGACGATGACGATGGCGAAGGAGAGAATGGAGAACCAGAAGATTCCGAGGAGGAAGAGGAAGACATCAAGAAATCTATCTTGAAAGAGGATAAGGGCGAGGAGTTCAACATGACGCAGCTGCGGCGTTACCAGCTGGAGAGGTTGCGATATTTCTACGCCATCATCGAGTTTTCATCAAAGGATGTTGCCAAGCACGTCTATGATAACGTCGACGGTACGGAGTACCTGTCGAGCGCAAATTTCTTTGATCTCCGGTTTGTCCCTGATGATGTCGACTTTTCGGATGACAAGCCCAGAGAAACATGTGACCGGATACCGGACGGGTACAAGCCCAATGAGTTCATTACCGATGCTTTGCAGCACAGCAAAGTGAAGCTCACGTGGGATATGGATGACCACGCCCGCAAAGAGGCACAGGCCAAGGCATTCCGGGGCGGGAAAAAAGAGATCGATGAAAACGACTTGAAGGCATATCTCGGCAGCGACAGCTCCGAAGATGAAGATGAAGATGAGGAGGTCGAGGTTGTCGATGGAACTACTGCGGATGGATCGAGCTCTAAAATATCCAAGAAAGAAGCGGAACGACAGCGAGTGCGGGCATTGCTTGGTTTGGACAATGAATCAGCTCTCAAACCGAAGCCTAAGGGCCCTGTCGGAGACATGGAGATTACGTTCACGTCCGGCTTAGCGGGCGAGCCGACTCGGGATTCTGTCTTCGAGAACGAGCCCGAGCGCGAAGAGACGACGAAGGAGAAATACATCCGCAAAGAGAGGGAGCGAAGGAAGCGGAGAAAGGAAAGAATCAAGGCTCTCAAGCGCGGCGAGGCCGTCCCTACGACCGACAAGGATAAGGACAAGAAAGAGGAGGGTAAAGATGGCGGTGAGAAAGAAGATCTCGGGTTCGATGATCCCTTCTTCAACGAGCCTACAGAGAAGGTTTCTGCGTCTGCCAAACGGAAAGAGGAGAAACGCAAGAAGCGCGAGCAGAAGGAAGCGGAGGAGGCTGCTGCGGCAGCTCAAAAGGCTGAGCTTGAGCTGCTCATGGTTGATGACCAGCACACGGGAATTAAGCATTTCGACATGAACGAGATCGAGAAGGCCGAGAAAAAGGCCCGCAAGAAAAAGAAGGGCAAGGGCAAAGAAGGGCAGGATGAGAAGGCGCCCGGGGACGACTTCGAGATCGACGTCAACGACCCACGCTTTGCCAGTCTATACGAGAACCACGAATTCGCAATTGATCCCACGAATCCAAGATTCAAAGATACGGCGGGAATGCGGGCACTTCTTGAAGAAGGCAGGAAACGGAGAAGACTCCGGGAGGAGGCTGATGGTGATGAACCTGATGACCGCACTAAGAAACATAAGAAAGCATCGTCGCAGCGTGAAAATGCTGGTGATGATGATTTGGACTTGAAGAAACTTGTGGCGCGGGTGAAGAACAAGACGAAAAAGGCATGATTTTTTTTTGTCATTTGGGATGGAATAGAAGGCGTGGGATTCAAACATTATTATTTTTATTGTATCCATGGACGTTTACCCGACAGGCGCATCAAGTTTCCACAAGTCCTTGTTTTCTTGGTCCCTTTAACGGAATTACTATTTTTGTATGGCATGTACTTGTAAATTCCTCCAATATGTGTGTCGATCGATATCAGTTCATTTTTATTTTTCTTTTCTTCGATGAAGGGGCGAAAGCACTCCCACATTTATAGCAATAATGGCACCGATAAATGCGAAATGAGACAGATATTTCTCCTTTTGCTGAATCTAAGACGAGGGATGAAAGGTTCAGGAGCATATACACATGGATCTATATAAAGCAACGGTTGTAAGTTAAGGGCTTTAAGTTAGGTCCAGACAGACGATCAGAAAATCTGGGGTGCAGCAGCAAGCCTGATCGTCTGTGGCTGAGTAGTTGTTAGATCGCCATGGAGGACACTATTATTGCATCAGCTCTGGGGGTGCACGGGCCTGGGATCATCGGCTTGGGCAGCTGTGCAGGGAACACGACTGGCAAGCTGCAGGCAGGCCTTGTTTGCGGCATCTTATCAGCCATGTGCGCTGCAACCCTGCACGACACTACGCAGTGGGTGCATGTGGGCTGTGCCACAGTGCTGGATCATGGCCCTACATGGGGCACAAGGGAGTATGCACTGCACCGCCATAACTGGTTTAATTGCGAGTGACACAGACTCAGTGACAGCATAGTGAGCCCATCTGCCTCTGCGATCAATCAGAATCCTGATAATCTGCTGTCGTAGTGATGATGAGCTGTCTGCGCCTAGCGCCAGTGCCTGCGAGCTAATTACTAAGTGCAGCGCTGATAGATGGGCACTTGCCCGATCGGGCATCTGCCTTCACCGCCCTTGTGGCTGGCCTCCGCCGCGTCTCCAGACATCTCCGTCCTGCTCCGGTCCGCCGAGCTGCTCCTCTTCGCTCACTGCTGTCTCTGGATCTTCATTGCAATTCTGCAATTCTGGGGTCATCCTTTTCCTGTGCCCCTGCATTGTGTGCATCCCTTGTAACACCCTCCAAGACGTCCTGTCCGCGTTTGCCAAGCACCGCCCTTGGTGCCTCCCAGGTAAACAACAGCCAGAAGTCCAGGTGGGAGAGGTGACGCCTCGAGTCTGGTGAACTTCAGACATGGCGGCCACAACCTAGCCTCTTTTTTTGTCTCCTCACTGTCCCTTTCTAGTGGAATTACTGCCTCCTGCAGTCGCACGACAGCATTCATACGGTCACAATGCTAGGCCGTTTGTTGAGCACCTTCAGCCCAGCAACATACTCGTCGCGAAACCCGGCTGTCCTAGAATCCGTTACTGAGGAGGAACACACCTCTAGTCTTTTGTTTCCGGATGCCAGCCTTCTTCGACGCTCCAACACCCATGCATACCCGCTTCAAAGCAGCTTCAACTCTCCGAATGCCGCAAGCGCCGGTGGCTACGACGATCGCGGTGGACTCGAGTTGGATGTGATCAAGGATTTCAGGTTCATCATCGCCCAGAACGCCCTTGGAGACAGAGACGAGCCATGCATCCTGCTAGATTCTCGCGGCTCCCCAGATCCGACCCCCCAGGGTCTGGGTCTGGATCCGCAGTTGTTTGACTCCGGCTCTGGCCGACACTCCCGGACGTCTAGCCTTTCAAAGGCTTCACGACGAGCATCGATCCAAACAACGCAGTCGTCTCTGACAGAGGGCAGTTCCATTTCCCAGAGCGCCTTCGCCCGGAGGACCCCTCCGGGGTCTTCCGGGGCGTTCTCTCGCGCTAGAGGTCGCAGCTCGACGTATTCGCCCGAGGGGGCTCACGAACCATTTCATAACCGTCCCTCCGCAGATTCGACCGAATCGGGTCTCTTGAATTGCATATTTGGAAGCAGTGCCTTTAGCTACCGGGGATCCTCGACGAAGATGCACATTTTGTCTACAGATAGCGAGCCAGGACAAGCTCCAGGGTCCTCGCCTGCCCCTCGAGAAGTGGATACATCGGCTGCTCGAGGCACCTCGACGCGTGGTCCCCTGGCAAGGGCCTATTCTTCCGGCTCTCAACCGGCACCCTCAAGTTATTTCTCCGATCGAGCCCACGAAGTCAAGTCTGCCCCCAAAGTGACGGTCCTCATCACCAGAATGTTCAGTGTCAACCTGCCCGAGGGCCGAGATACATCTGTGGAATCTCAAGATGCGCCAAACCCCGCGCCATCGGAGTCCAGTCAGGAGAGGGGCTATCCATTCCCGGATGTCTTCAAACGCCCAAAGATCAAAGAAAAGAAAACCCCCATGTATGCAGTCGCTATCACGATTCAGATACCATTAGGGGCACGATATCATGCACGGCCCTTGTCACGACCCGGTGCCAACGCTCCGGGCTCCATGTCATTCTCGCTCGATTCCGATCACCGCTGGAGCAGTGCGTTGTTGGACGATAGCCTTTCTCTTTCTGCTAACATCGACGAAAGGATCGACATTTTGGTGGACCACTGGGATGTGATTACGCGCACGCTATCCCATCTTGAGAAACTCGCGCGTCGAGAGATTCTTGCCCTGCTCAAGAAGATTGATGCTCTCTCGGGCCCTCAACCGAAACCTGCCAAAGTACCTAATATGCAAAGAACCAATCAGACGATCGTTCAGCTTCGTCCCAATGACCTTGCAGGCCATACCAAACTCAAAGAAGAGATGCTCCTGAGTGCTCAGAGAATATCTGCCGCGCTCCGGATACCCCGAGTCGTGATCGGGCAAAGCCGATGGGGGGTGTGGCGCGAGGAAGCTCGCTGGATTGCCCGTCTTCTTGCCGACAAAGAGCATGGGCTCTTTTTCCTTGTTCTCATTACGGCATTTCTGGGTAATCACACGGAATGGCTCAGCTTCCTCGGGCCGGAATGGTACCGGAAGCGTCATTATCAGCTGCAGAAGGCACAACAGGATGCGGAACCAACGATCTCGAATAGGACCGTGATTATCTCAGATAACAAGATGGTTGCGCGGCGATTGATATTTCTTCTATCAGCTTTTCTCCCATCCAAGCAGCGATTTGAGGTCCTAGGTTCCCCTCTCCGTCCGGGTACATCCACGTCCACGCGGCCGCTCTCGCAGAGTCCACCGAATGTGCCAATACTGAGACAAGAATCCCTTCGAAGGACCATCAACCGGCGGGCCCGCGTTCAGAGACTCAACGCGGAGGATACCGAGAACCACCAGAGGTCGACCAGCGTCTCTTCCGGCGAAACCGCCCATAGATCGTCCGAGGATGGAGAGCCGGGCAATCCTGCGGAATATCCGAAGAACAGAAGAGATTCTGATGTTCGATCCATCCGAACCGCCAGCCTACCAATCCACGCGAATGATGTGCGAACGAGAAATTGCAGCGCCGCAACTACTTCTACAACCACCCCCAGCTCAGCTGTACCAGTTCCGCATTTTGCTTCCCGTCAACGGCGCACCAATGGCGATGACAGCTATGCGTCTGCAAAGCTTCTACAGAACCTGCGCAGAAGCGAAAGCTCGAGTACCGGCTCCGATGGTAACTTAGCCCCAGCTGGTAGCAAGTGGGGTAACATCCTGTCTGGGTTTTGGCCTTCACGTCAGGAATCACCTGCCAACAATGGCAATGCCGGTTCCGTGCGTCGTGATTCTACGAGCAAGACAGCAGCCCCCCGGCAATCAGAGGATAAACCACAAGACACCATCACCAGCAAGGGGGTAGAAGCCGAATCGTCACTGGAGAGTGGATCCAAGGAACCCCCATCGAGTGAAACCATCGCTATCCCTAGCTCGCCCACTGCTTCACGAAATAGCTTGGACCAGGGTCAGCCGGAGTCGCTTTCACAGGCGGATAGCATAAAGGATTCTCCGCTAAAGCTTTCCGTACGTTCAAAGGATGGTGTGGTCGATGTTGATCTTCCTCTTCCCGGTTTTGTGTCCTTGTCGTCTTCGGGAGATTCAACTTTTACATCACCAAAGAAACCAAGAACGTCCATAACGAGTGTTGATGCTGTGGGATCGACTCACAGTAGTCTCTCGAATGTCAACTTTCCGCTCAGAGATTACGAAGGTCCCAACTTGAACGTTGCTGGCTGGCTGAAAAGCTTCCATGAGGATTTCTTGCTCCAGGCTGTGCGACCATACCATGGCGTCGAGGCTGACATCAAGCGAGCCATGATCGCTGAGTCCATACCCCAAGTATCACTTACCGCTGTCGATGCTGAGACCGCTAGTGCAAACGACAGGTGGGTAGACGTTGCGACGACGCTGATCGCGGATACGCGCACGTGTACGGTCAAGCGCCTGCGCCTTCGACGAAAGATTTCGGCGACCGGGGCCAAAGTTGGTACTCCTGCAACCCCTCGCCAATCGTCCGAATCAGGTCAGTTCAGCGGCTTCTTCTCAACTGCCACCCGGTCTCGCAAAAACTCGACAACTGCTCTGGCTGATTGGCTAGAGCTAAATGATTCTGAAGTGAAATTCGTCGAGGAACCCGTCATGGACGTGGATGGGACGCTCGTCGATGCTGTAGAGCGAGTTTTGGTGCAGAGCGGGCAGTCTTCTCTTGCGCAGTCACGAGCGCCTTCTCCTCACCGGGGAAACAGGGGCGAAGATAAATCGACATCCGAAACAGCAGCTCGCAATGACGTGCCACCTGTTGTCGAGGTACCTCGCGGCGAATGCCGGAAGATGGTCCTCGGAGCATTGGAAGAAGTGGTCCGGAGTGTGGCTGCTGAGCACTGCCGCGAAGACGTCGACGCTGATTTCGGGCTTGGAGCTCCATTATCCGAGACAGATAGCAAGAGACGCACCGTCCACGCTGATAATACCCTTAGAGAAGGCGTTCGGAAGTGGCTTCTTGAAGTTGAGGAGGCTTGCTGACCGAAGCATTGTTCCGCGTCAATATCTTCTAATGACTCCAGAGACAGGTTACCTCCACAATCCTCATAGCAGCTGCCTCCTACACCGGTTATCTCCGTGCGCAGATCGAGAATTAGTCATTCACTACTTGGCGTTTCTTCCAAGTGTGTCCTGGATGACGAAATCCTCTATTTTCGTTTAACTTGTGGCTTCGTGCCCTTGTTCGACTTTTGACGGCCGTTCTAAAGATCATCATGATACCCAGGTGCTTTTTGTTGTTGTTTGCTTTGCTTGCAGTTGCTTTGCTTTTTTGAGTCACGTTTCTTAATTTATGCATTGTGGCTTTTTTTCCCCCTTGCGTTGTGGGAGGTTGTCTGCTTCAATTCATTGATACACGTTTTAATGATCTGCGGGTTGGGCGTCTCACGGTTATTTTCGTTTTCTTGTTTAGGCATCATCATCCATCCATCCCATATTGCCGGCCTAGCTTTCAGCATTTCGGGTTCGCGCAAATTTTTTTTTACTTTCTTTTTAATAGGTGCTCATTCATCCTAGTCTTTTAATCTGTGGACACCGGGAGCCAGGTATGTATGTCCTAGGGCGTATGATACCTAGCACACCGGTTTTTAGCTTCTTAACAAGAGTGTCTATTCTATCACTTCAATTTGGTTTTCAACTTCAGCGTACCTTGAAGAAAGAGAAACGAAATAATTATTCTGGGTGCATTGCTCGATGATGCTGGGCCATGGGTCAAGACATCGAGGGTCGCAGCAACTCGTAGACTTTGGCACACAGATAGATCTCTGAAGCGGGTGGCATTTTGTGTAAGAACGCTTTTCGATAATTGACATTACTTTACCAAATGAATTAGAAGGGACTTTAAAATAAAACAGGAAGAGCAGGCACCCGCGCATGTCGAGGCGGGATAGCAGTAAATACACAAGGCTATCCAATCACTACAGCGGACAAAGCTCTAGACTCGTCCTCAGACATATGGAGAGTGTTTCAGTAGCGAATTTAGCGTCTGGTATTTTGTGAACAACATATATTGAACGCAACTCCAAGATGCACAGGGTCAGAGTCTTGTTCGATATACAAACCAGAGACATCCTATGATTGGTCATTTCATAGATACGATACGCTCGAAGTTGGAGACAGATATCTATTGGCCAGCAATGCAGGTCACATGATGCGCTCACCGCCTTCCTAGAACAGCTACTCGATGATCCCCGGACGTGATATCAATGTATCTCCAGATTTCTATCCCCGGAGTCTCAGCCAAGCTCCGCTGACGGAACTGCGCATGGCTCAATTGGCGGACACTTGAAGAAAAGAGGATGCCTCCACGTGGGCCCTCAAGGGGATCGCACCTCCGGCAGGTCAGCGCAGCGAGCCTGGATAGTACCTCCTCCACCGGTCCCTCTGTGGGGACTTCACAGTATGATCCCTCAGCAGCCAACGACAAGTCAGACAAGCAGCCGGGCTCTGGTCTATATCGCCAGCTCTGTACGCTCTGGGTCCATGATGAGAGCTTCTCAAGGGAAGAGGTTCTGTTCAACAGTTCCGCGTTCAGCGAAACTGGGGTCAAACCGGGCGACGTGATCGAGATCACCCTTGTGCGCAGTGGCGGAGATTCTGCCCATCCCCAATTGAAGTCCGAGTTCGGTGCCAGAGCCGGCAATGACGGTAATGTCGAGAGCAATTCAAGTCTCAACCTGGGTGGTGGGAATTCGAAATTCGCTTCGCGCACCCAGGGCCGGTTTCTCTTCGTGGTCAAGCCTCTGCCGCAGGACATCAAGCAACGACATCCAAAGCTGGAAATATCTGTGACAAGCAGCGTCGCGAACATATTTGGCTTCAAGAACCGCTGTCATGTCCTCCTTTCGCAGGTTGACCGCTCACAATGCTCCGCCTCCCACGTTGACATCTCCTTTCGCGACCAATACCTGGTGCGTGCGGATATGTGGAGGCTTGTCACGTCAGAACTGGTCGATAAAACCATCTACAAGGGGCAGAAGATTCTTTTCATGGGAAGCATCAAAGCAACAATAAAGCACATCTTCATCCGAGGGAAAAAGGTCCTATCAGGCTATTTTGCTCCCAACACGATTCCTGTGTTTCGGAGTGAATCGGCGAGATATGTCTTGTTCATCCAGATGTCCCGGGAAATGTGGGACTTCGACGCGGAGGGGACCGGCGATATCCTCTTCAGCCGGGTGATCAATGGCTTCTTGCCAGAGCTTTTCAAGCGCTGGGCAAACATCGACGCCAAGCATCTGGTCACGATCGTGCTGTTCACCCGAGTTGAGTACGATAGTACTGTGGAGCATGGGGAATCTGCGCTTAGCATGGACCCCCTGAAAAGAATACCTCCTAGTACTGATCATGTGCACACGCGGGACTTCTATCGAGTCGTTGTAAATGATATCGCGAGCGCTCACTGGACAGCGATCTTGGATGAGCTCAAGAAGAACTTTCGAACGTTCTTGAGGGATGTTTCAATCCAGAAATTCGTTAACCCAGAAGATTCAACGACCGATGGAACCAAAGAGAAGAAACCGCAGATCGTCACTATCGCCGGACGGCCCACCTCTGCAATACGCGGGAATATCCTTGAAGCCATCCATCTGGCTACCTCGCACATGACCTATGACCATATCGATCGCGATATGGCTCGTACAGGAACTTCAATTGTCGTCATAACGCCAGGAACTGGGCTCTTCGAAGTCTCCTACGAATCCCTGGCTGCAACAACAGAAGCCCTCACGAACCTTGGGATCGCCATCGATCTCGTTTGCCTGAGCCCCATGCCACTTCATTCTGTACCATTGTTTAAGTATCGGAGACCACAAGAGCGACCTAGTAGCTCACGCTTCGGAGATTCCCATAGCAACCTGTCAGCTTCAGAATATCGACACTCTACAGCCAGTTTTACGAGTAAGCTATCTCCGTTTTCTCCCAAGGGGTCAGATTTTAGCACCTTTTCTCGCCCTGTATCTCGAGACCGGCCCTCCGCAAATTCGAAAGAATGGTGCTATGGAATTCCCCATTGGCTCGATATTTCTTTCTGGAACCCGGAAACTTATAGAGAGGGTCGTAGGATTGCAAAGAAGGATCTCAATGCACCGATTCCGTACACCGTGACGAAACAGTCGAAGCTCTTCGTGCCAAGGGTGCGTATGTACGAGATTCAAATGATGGGGATCATGGAGAGTGAACAGTCCAATATTTCCATTCCCTATCTCTCGGAGAGGAACTATGGCTTTCAACGGACTCCCAACCTCACTCCGAGCTCGCATCCGAGCATTATGGTTTCTCCCGCAGGCAAATATCCTCTCTCTCCCAGCTCGTCCTACAGGGTGCAATTGAGCGACAGCCTGAGGCCAGAGCCATTCCTCTCCAGTTTCACGAGTCCTAAAGAGATGATGCTCTCCAACTCGGCGAAACAGCAAAGGAGAATGCTCAGCTGGATGGACGACTATGATGACCATGTCTTCCACCCATTCCCGAAGAAGCGCCATTCTCGAAAACATTCTAAATCCAAGAAACTAGCTGAACCTGAGACTCAAAGCTCTCATACGCAGGACCGCCTGTCGGCAAGATCGATCATGAGCTTGAGAGAGCATGAAGAACATGAAATGGAACGAGCTTCCTCGCTGCGCTCCACCCAGCGGAAGGTGGACACACCCTTGTCCTCCCCCAAGAGTCCTATTTCAACCAAGGATCAGTCACCAAGGAAACCAGCAATTAAAACGAATCGTACTTCAAGGATCTCACGCACAATCAGCTTTGCTCTACGTGGGCTCGGCTCAGGCCCTCCGCGAGCTCAGGCAAGTACCGAAGTCAATGTCGAGCATGCCAGAGCTCTTCCTATTCTGAATAGGAAGACTTCGACAGGAATGACTTCGGATACGGAGAGCATCAAACAGCAGACCTCTTCGACAGATGAGACTGCGTCGATATCGACGGTCAATGAATTGCCAGCAGCGCCATATACGCCGAAGAAACCCACTGAGAAGCTGGAAGTTCCTCAGTCGAGGCCGATATCTATCAAAGTCGTCAATAAGAAAGTTCGGGAGGAGGCGGAAACAGAGCGACAAAGTGTCGAAAGCTCTTTCCACCCTGCGACAGAAATTCCCATCGACACAGGTAGCCACGGTGCAAGCCATGGACCGTTTCCCATGAAGAGAACGGGTCCTAAATTCGAAGCGGGGTTCAATGCTGGGGTACGCGAGACATCTACGAGTCACTCGCCGACTAAGGCATTAGCTCCGATCTCGTAGGAACAAACTTATTTTAGTTCCTATTCCTATATTAGGGGATACAAAAAACACGTCTTTTTAGCGCGTCATTCGGCTCAGAGAGGCCTCTGAGCCCCTAAAAACCACCATGGAACCTCCCGATCCCCATGGTGGTGGTGTTATTCACGCGTCACCCCCGGCAAACGGCCACGCGGCAAGCCAGCTCACGGAAATCCTGGAGGTACCAGACACCCCAACCCCAAGCCGATGGAACATCACTGGACCTCTAGGGCTTGATATGAATGAGAATGATCAGGAAAATGACCCAAAAACGAGCAGAACCCTG